TTATTGAATCTGTATTTGTGTTGTGTTTGAATTTAGATTAAAAGAATTAAAAACAATAAGTTTTATCATCAGCATTAGAGGCTGTCAAGACGTGTTGTGTGTTGTCATTTTGAGATGCAGCAAATAGATGCTAATGGATAGCATATAGGAAGCTGACCTACTGCTCGGCCCACAAAGTGCTCAAGCTGGGAGAGCCTCGGTACCTCAGCAAGGTATGTGTGACTAATTCCAACTAAAAGCACAATCCTGTTGTAACAATAACAGTAATGTTTGATGTTGTTGCAGGTGGAGGGGAGTACCACAGAGACGGAGGTCAAGACGGAATACTACTCTGACAACTCGGCCTCTCTGCCAGGAATATCAGGCACTGGTGGACCTCGCGAGTTTGAGCCTGGAATGTTCAACAAGACAACAGACCTGTCCAAGGTGAGTTGAAGTACACATCCGATTCTCATATTAAAGCTGTAACCTCTAAACAAATTAACATACTGTAGTTGAATAAAGCCAATGACAGATTTTGCTGATGTCAATTATTAATTTCTGTTGAATCTAATTTTCTTAAACCAAGCCAAACTGAAATTATGACTAACTCGTAAACTATAGCGTTTTTAAATTCACATTGACGATCATAGAATAAAAAAGGAGAACATTTTATTTCACTAGCACACTTACTTGGTCAGTGTCGAATTTGGTGGCAATTTGTTGGCTCATTCAATTGTGTTTTTGTTTTTTTTTAACTCTCTACGGCTAGTCCATATAGGATTTTCCAAATTTGATATATATATGGGATGTTCATTCTGATATCAAAAATAAATTATGTAACCCGAAAGTCTATAGGGTTACCAGTTGTATATTGGACAGGATATTTCACCTATTCATTTGCGTTGCCTTGCTCCTTTCACAGACAAAACAGTCCTTTTATCTGCTTACTATGCGGTGGTGTTTCCCTATTTCATTTGTCATACGCCGTCACTATCTGGGGGTAACAACAAAGCACATCTTTGCGCTCCAGAAGAATACTGTACGGGTCGTTGCTTGCATTGTAGATCAGCTTTTGTCAAGCATTTACCTTTTAAATACCATAATATTTTTAAAACAAAGCCATAGTTATTTTAAACCTTTATACTTTGTACTCTTTTTCAATGAAATGGCGACCATACAAAGTAGGTATTTTAAGCCAAGTATGAATGGAGATGAGTGTAGGGTGAGTGGTGCCCTATGCTTATTTTTATTGTTCGGTGATAGTGAACCATCATAAGAGTAATGTCGTTTAAAAGTAACAGTTATGCATAGTTACTTTTTGATGGTAAAAATAATGAAGTACAGTAGACTCCCTCTTATCCGGACACCTTTTAACTGGACATCGGTTTAATCGGACTACACTCGGTGGAAATGGCATCTCTTTAACCGGACAATTTTTATCAGCACATCGGTTTAACCGGACTAGAGGCTGGAAGTAGGCGGTACTGAAACGACTGTACTCGTGGGAAAGATATGAGCCCAGTGATCACGTGTCTAAATACAATGCTCTCCTAAATTTAAGTCAAATACGCATTTAAACGGTCCGTTTTAATGAGGGTTTGGGTAAGTCGGTTTAACCGGAAAACCCGTCATCTGGCCTGTCTCGGTCCCGAGGAGTCCGGATAAGAGGGAGTCTACTGTAAATTTATTTTTAAGATCAGCCATTATAGATGTCACTTGTACCTGTTGAGTAAACACTGAATTTATATCATACGTTAAATGTTTCCAGCTGAAGAAAAAGAAGAAAGACCGCAAGAAGCATAAACATAAACACAAGCACAAGCACGACCACAAGCATGGAAAGGAGAAGGACAAGAAGGATCTGGGAAAACTGAAGATCAAAGAAGAAACTCTGAGTTCAGTGAGTTCCAGTCCGAGTCCTCCTGCGAGCTCGGCCAGTCGCGAGTTCACATTCTGAGCTCGGCCAGTCGCGAGTTCACATTCTGAGCTCTCAGTTGACGAGTGGTCTCATGTAAACAATGTACAGGTCCAAAGTGAATATTCGTCTGGTGTGGATGGTGTGTGTTTTGTAGTGAATTGTATTAAAGAGAAGTATTTTTATAAATTATCAATGTTCAAAAAAATGTTTGGACAATTAAAAATTATGGGAGATTGTTACTTGATTAAATCCTTCCTTGAACTTCCCTTCAACAGTAGAACTCCGCTAATACAGCTGGTCTGACTTTGCCATATCCTATTAAAGACAATGTTATCGTGGTAATATCGTTACTATTTTCCATGGTCGTGTGAAGATCATCACTGTCTCCCGTAACCGCGGGTAAAATATTGTATATCTCCTCGATCACGGAACCATTATCAAAGTTTTTCGCGATCATGGAAACATTTACGTCATTCTCCCCGAATGTTCAAAATATTGAATGTCTCCATTACCATCGTCTTCCGCGATTGTGCACGTTCAATAAGTGTCTGTTAAACAATTAGTTTGGTCATTTAATATGCTCCTTGGATAATCCAAGGGAACTTTTCAAGGGGAAACTTTTCACTGTTCCGACCATGTTCTTGATCCCTGGGTGATGGAATAGCAGTTGTACTGTATATTAAATTTGTACTAGGGGAAACCCGTCGAAATTGACGGTTACTTTCAAGGCTTACGTTAATTCATCTAACTGCGATAAATTGGGTGAAATATACATATTTTGAGCATTTAGCATTGTTTAAAGGGTAGTAAGTGTGAAAACAATAATGATTTTAATTGCGTTAGTTGCCAAATTTGGTTGATCATTCAATGATTAAAATATTTCCCATACCGTACGTCATTTGACTCATCGGAGTTATTATTAGTATGTTATATGATATCTCTTCCTTTGGAAGAACCTTTAAATTAATAGTATTAAAATCGTATTGGTGGGTCTTTTGTAGTTAAACATTTCTGTGATTTCATCAGTGTAATATGATTTTATTTGAAAAGAAAATATTTTTTGGGAAGAAATGTTCTAACTTCAAAGGGAGGTATGTCCGTTACAGTGTAAGTTTGATTTTTCCTTCGTCACGTCGCGTCAGTTCATATCGTACTTCTGTGCCAATGAATGAACCCTCTAGCATAGTTATGAGAAATTTATTGTGGGGTTACTGTTAAAGCTGGAATTCCTTGACATGGGGGATGTCAGTTAGTTGTCTCAGCCTTATCAATAACATAAAGTTGTCAATATAATCTCTCTACGGAATGATAGGTGTAGTGGAATACTTGAAGTGAAGTTGGCTTTTATTCTTAAACTGTTAGGGACCTCCTAGTTTATATGGTCTTGCGGCTTCATTGGCAACAAATAATGCAAATGACATAGCAATGGGACATTTCCAAAAAGAAAAAATACTGTAAATTGGCTGTTGCGTATATATTGACGTTTACATATTGTAAATCAACGTATCTTATAAAGGATTATGAGGTCTAGTTTAAAAGGAATATGACCTTTCTGTCATGACAGTAGCTGCTAAAATAGTATTTTCTCTTTGTACCATATTTTACAGCCAAAATGTCGTGTTATTCTCAATAATGTTACCAACCCAGTGCGCCAAAGTCCGTAATATAGGCAGGTGCAAATAATTTGTCAAGATGGGTACCATTTTAGGCAATGATTCTATGTTTGGATTTTGTTAGACACGATAAGAGCAGATATTTCTACATGAATATTTGATATGTGTAGAATAATATGATAAAATTTAGGCAAAAGTGGTGAAAAAGGCAGACACCAACCCGTACAATAGATATAAGATAGTTCAATAAGAAATAATTTAAGAATTTCTGTGATCAAAGGATTTTCCACTGATTTCGTAATAGAACGTTATATTGCAAAACATGACATGATAAAGAGGAAAATTAATTTTAAAATCAGAAAATAACATTGCAAATACTTATTTGGTACAATTCAGTAACCCAATAAATATGTGTGGTTTGAAATACAATTTAAAAATGAACAGCTGTTTTATTAAAAAGTATTATTCACATGGCCAAAATGTAAACAACTCTGTGGAGGGATCTTTAAAGGCTTCTGGGGCAGAGCCCTAAGGGATTTTGCTTAGTTTTTCTTTTGATATCTCATCTACAGACCAAGACCTTTCTTTGGACACCTCTACCAAGTTTCTACGCCCATCCGTTCTCTCAAATTAGTGGGGACAAAGTTTCCAATTAAATATTTAAATTCCCCCATGTTAATCTTATGGGAGAAAATCCAACTTTGATGGCCTGTGGGGCAAAGCCCGAGGATTTTCATTACATGAATTGGTGAAAGGGGGTGTCTACACAAAAAATACTTTATTTTGACACGTCGTTTGTAAAAATCCGTCCATTATTAACGGAGGAGTAGTGTTTTCAAGAAATCGCCTTCACGTATTATATATAAGGATTTTGTCACTTTGTGGTGTTTTTTGTTGGGGTTTTTTCTATGATTGACGACTTCATTGTCAAGTACTAATAGTCTGAATTCGTCATATATTGGATTTACATAAATAAAGTTGTAATTTGTAGAGTTGTATTTTGTATCTTAATATTCAGACTACGGTAAGTCTTTTTTAAACTTTATAATGTATTTTTTTGCGCTTATATTGAATCAGCTTGTGGCAGTGTTTGTTGATTTGTTCAAATTTTTACTGAGCCAGCGTATAATATGGCTACAAATGCATATAAATGATTTAATTTCAAGGGCCTTAGATTAGAAGTTTGTACAGTATTCGTATATTTGATCTGTTTGTTAACCATTGTGGTAGTTTTTATTTGACTCAAACATCCCCAACATTTCATTAAATATCAAGGTGAGCCAAGTAGTGGAGTATTTTTCTTTTAAAAGCTCGAAATTCAAGTACTGAGAGTACTTTAGATAATGCCCTTGTATAAGACATAAATACCACCTGTACCATAACTATCATGATTTAAATAACATAATAAATATGGGGAATAAATCTACTGAATTGTACTTTAATAATTTTTTTATTGTTTACTGATTGAGCTAATACAAAATGCTGACAGTCAAAACCCTATTAATTCAGGTTACTTTGTGCATATTTTTGGTCTTATTAAACTTGTGCAAGGCCTACTGTGACAAATATTAACACAAAAATAATATATTAACATATAACAAGCACGACACAACTTTAACCTAAATAAAATCTTAATATTTTGTGTTGAAACCCTGAAGACAATGCAGATCAATTTCCAGGTTTTTACATATTTAATCAAGCTATAATGTCTCAAATCTTTCTGGCTCTGTATAGCTCGAGAACATCTGGCAAAAATTTGACATTGAAGAAATTAGCTAAACTTATTACTATTACTGACAAACCATTATACATACAGTGTAAACTAAACTATTCATCATCGTGTTTTACCCTCGACAAAGCCTTTTAGTATAAGATTATTGTGCGTTGATAAAATCCCTGTAGCAATATGGTCTAACTTCTTAAATGCATCTTTGGTAAATGCTTTCTTCGTAATAAGAACCAAACAAAAGTCTAAATCGACTAATAGTAAATCTAATACAGTACTACCAAAAGCAACATCTACGACCATTATGTTTATATCATTTTCGTATGTGTTAACTTTATTCTTTCTGTTACAAAAACAAGGCTGTGTTTCAGAAATGAATCGATAATTTTGTGATAAATCAAAAATAAAGCACCACATTAAATAGATGTAGAAACTACCACGTGGTGAATTTTACAGTACTGTATCTTAAGCCAATGTTAGATATTGTCCAAAAAAAGATGAAGAAACAAAATCCCACTTTCTCGGATTGCAAATATTTTACTAAATGTGATTTTGATAGACGTTCATAACAAACTAAATAATAACACATGGTTAGTTCCATCATTATCTTTCCATGCCTCGTTCACCGTGCAGTACAATATGGGGAAATAGTCGTACTATAAATAATACTGGAAACTTTGTTTTGGCTATGCAGGTTCAGAAAACGGTACTCTTGACACTCGAGAACGGGTAAAGAAAATTTTACTTATTGTCTTAATCAATTTATTTTATAGATTGGTATTTTGACTATTGAATTGGATTTTGACTCTGCTTCAGTCAAAATTAGTATAGGCCTATGGTAGTTAGTTAAGAAGCATAGGAAAAATTAAAACCCAAGGAGCGATTTGTGGGTCTTGATGTTTTTAGGAGGGCTAATGTGGCTGAAATTTCCATTTTAAATTGGACACTCTGTACTGCACAGTGAACAGAATGGAGTATAAAAGGAGCTTACTCGATTTTGGCCATCTATGTTATTGACAATATTTAGGTCCCTTTGTGTATGGGCCCCATACAGCCCAGAGCTCCAAGCTTTCAGGGGTTGGTGTCAATAACAACAGCCATAAATATTGTTAACAATATTGTTTTGATTAGATTGCTTAAAAAACTAAATTTTAATCAGCCTTTCAACCTTTAAATAGCGTGTAAACTCGTTTTTAAATATGTACTTTGATTCCAAAAATGTCTGGAGAGAGGTGCCAAAGTTGTTTACAGCTTAGAGCGCTATTCTCACTTAATTCGAGTCTGAGAATAAAAACCATAAACGGTCAACCCTCAGCATCAACCACACACAAATTTGACCGGACAAATTTGAAATTTGATTTGTTTGCTTAATCTTAAAATAAATAAGAACAATAACAAAACTCAACCACGATTACAATCCTTACACTAAACAAGGTAAACCATGCCACTACCAGGGCAGCTGTTTTCCGTCGTACTGATAGAAGCCTCCGTTGTGTTGAGGCCCGAGCTCCTTGAGCAGCTGTACCAGTGCTGGGATGGCAGTGTCCAGTGCGAGGGGTGCCTGTGGACCGCCCATGTCTGTCTTGACCCACCCGGGGTGGATGCTGACCGCTAGAATGTTGTCAGGCTTCAAGTCAAAACTTAAAGAGCGAGTCACTGCATTGAGAGCAGCCTGGAAACAAACGCAACCATTGTCACAATATTACAGGGTAAAGATTGCAGTGCTTGTGCATTTCTTTGAAACTTGTTGATATATTGTTATCAGAGGATTCGCATGACAAATGTCTGTTTGGTTGTATTTTCCAATTTATCTATAGTGCTTAATGATTGGCACTAAACAGTAAACAACACTGCAGTACATGAAGCCTATCCATGAATAGTTAAGAAAGGGATAAGGCTTGCTCGCTGATTCAAACAGGTTTTAAAACCGTGATTCGTAACATTCTAACATTGAAGAAAAAAGAAAAAAAAACAACTTGATAGCTACTTTAAAAATTTATTTTTCCAAATCAACACAATTTTCATTACTTGGTATCTAAGTAAGTGAAATTATGTGTTTACCATGTTCTTAAATTATATTTTGAAAAATAATCAGTAGATTTACCCTTGCGTCCAGATTTTATATTTGCCCTCTAAACTTACTAGTTTCATTTCAATGTATTATGAATCATGTTTTTGGTTAGCAATCATTTCAATGTTGATAAAAACAGGTAACAATGGATCTTACTATTGATTTTTGCACCATGATAACAATTTTTGTTGATATTACGTTCCTTGTACTTAAGATTTTGTGTTTATGAGTTCGATAAGGCTTCAAACATGACCTCGAGCTCACTACAGAAAATGCCACTTTCAGTTCTAGCATTGACCATACGTAGTAGCAATGATATATTAAGGTGATAATTGATATATTTAGATGAGTTGGCTCACTCGGGTGTGCTAAGATTTCAGGCCCAAGGTGGTGATTTCAGTTCACCCTTGTACTGTACCTCACCCCTTGCTTTACTGGATACGCTTCACGCTTCAAGGCATGTGGACAAACGGAAGGATAAAAGAGACGGCCAACCTCATTAAAAAACCAAAAGCTACGGTATCACCCCGGGATTAATCTTAATCCAATCCAATTGTGTAATGATTCTGTTACTGTCCATAAACTTTGACTCAAAGTTGATTAAACCGATTGGTCCCAACAAGCTGTGAGTACCTTGCTGGTTCTGTAGGGGTAGAAGCCACCCTGGTTGTTCTCAGCTATGGAACCCAGTATGGAGCTGATGTTGACGACAGCAGCACGTGCTGAGCCCAGTGGCTGAGAGCTGTTAGCAGCTGACGCCTGCTTCAGCAATGGTATCAGGGCCTACAGGACAACAACACTACCATCAGCAATGCATCATTATTTAATGCCGCCAAGTAGGGATGGACGAGATTGGATTTTTAGTTCGAGACAGGATATTTTATTTCTCATAAAATTTCGAGACGGGATTTCCCTTCTCATACAAAACGGGAAATGCACATTCCACATTTTAACCTGATTTTATAACATTTTTAAATACCTACTGATTTATGACGGACTGGTTAAATACAAAAATAATAATAATAGAAAAAATATTTAAAATCTTTTATTAAAAAACATTAATCAAAAACATCAGTATAAAAAAAACAAAAAGGCCTAAGTTATTAAAAATAACTCTTTGTCATTGGAAACATGGAGATATTAGTAAGTATATAGTTCAACTTTGAAAAATACCAAATTTACAAGTCTAAAACAACAGTCTTACTAGTTAAGAATAAAGTAACAATTCTTTATTAGTCTTGAGTCTTGTGTTATTTTTAGAATGATTTTGGAGTGACTCATTTTGGCTATGTTAACAGTAGTAAAACATGTCTCACACTGCTTGAAACACTAACAAAACTTCTCATCATATGCTATGTCAAAAAAAATAATTATAAAACAATTAAAGCAATATTTCCATGCATGTAAAGAATTAATTAAATAAAAACGCCTTCATAAAGGAAATGCAACATCAACACGCTCCTGTATTGCGGGTATTGCATTGACTTTGTGCAGGCAATTCTCCTCTAAAAAATCTTGACCAAAATAGAATCTCGTCTCGTAGGACGAGATTTAAAATTTAAAAAAATGTCAAGACCCGTCCATCCCTACCGTCAAGCCACCTGGACTCAGGACCGATGAACTTTTTTGTAATGATGTTACCATAGAGACCAAAAAATATCATCCGTTAACATTCATAATGTATATCATGTGTGTCGGTTAGCACAATAGAGTAAAAATTATCCGAATTTTGATGTAATTTGGTGTAAACCAACATAAATTGAACGAGTTCGCAAACCAGCACTATCACTTTGGGAACAGGGTTTTATGTGGTGAAAATTTGCTTTTTCCCATTACGGACCCTCAAAACATAGCATTTTGCAGTTTCTAACCCATTTCGTAGAGGTTTAAAAACATTTAATATATTGTAGCGCTGTTTTACGTGGCTACGAAGAAAATAAAAGAAATGCAGTAATTTTTTAAAGTTTATTTAACTAAGAAAATGGTTTTGACTCGCATGTTAAAACAAAAAATAAATTAAATGAATATTACCTAAAATTTTACTCTGCGTGTTGACTATTACAAGTCTTTCTAATCCACCAATATTACTACAAAATGCCCATCTATCTTTGTTCATTGTATTTTTTAATACTGCATAAACGTTCATAAAAGAATGGAGTTGTTATTTCACAATACTTAAGTATCAACTGCAATATTAAAATTCACTAATGACACTGATATAATTACTTTTGCACACTTTCAAGATAAGAATTGCTAATTGGCACTAGTAGTAGAAAATTAAGTAGTGAAGATGTGTTCTAGGAAGTTGTGTGTTTAGAAAGATGATTGATAAATAAATAAATATTGGAGGAGAGATGAGGGTAGCATGCATTTGTTACTCGATAAAAATCATCTCTCTGCTTCAAATTTCACTCTTGTATAAGTCAGGTAAGATTGCAGACTTTGTACAGCTTTGGTGCTGAAATGTTATAGTATATTTCGTACCTAGGGCCGAAAATGAGGTTTTGCCGGCTCGAGATAGTTTTTAAGTTCGAGACGAAGTCGAGAACTTAATCGATCGAGAGCTGCAAAACCATTTCGGTCCGTGGTACGAACGCTATTTTTCACCACACTATACCCTCTGACCACTATTCACCACCATAATAATGCACACTGATAGTCAACACAACTACAACTTTAATGTTATGTGAAGAAACAATTTGAGGAATCAGGAAAAATAAAAATAAATAGTTGCTAGGCAACGGTGACAATAACATTGCAATGCTATGGATTTTTATTGTGTATTTAAAATGCATTCATGTTTTAAGTAAGCGGACAGCTGATTTTGCGGCCCCGGCCTGTAAAAACCTGCTCGGTCCCCAAATTACGATGACAGCTGGCATGGCCAGCAAAACGTAACTTTCAGCCACCAATTAACGTATGTAATACAGCCAAAAACATCATAGTGTGGTGAAAAGATATTTTAAATCATATGTTTAGCTGCTAAACTGTAGTCTCAGTGTTAACAGATAACACACATGGCCAACACTATAAATTCAAAACCTATTTCAATGTGTATAATATATTATAATGGTGCCACAAATTTTGCAGTGAGATTTTCATCGATTTTTTCTGCTACAAAACTGTAATAAACATAGTGCTGTAGTTTATACAATATACGTTCATGATACAATGCAAACCTTGTTCAACATAAAATAATATCGCATATATTTACGGTAAGTTTTTTAATCACCTTGATAGATACAATTAATCAATCATTGAGATGGGGTGCGTATTTTAACCCAAATATGAATGAAGGATGAGTGTAGAACGGTGTGAGATGATCTGTGTCGCTTTGCTACTGACTAAGATCAGCTGTTACATTACAAACCTTGGTCAACATAAGTGGTGCTACGGTGTTAACTGTGAGGTTCTCAATCATCTGTTCTGCTTTTACGAGGTTCACACGGGTGAATTTTGTGGAAATTCCAGCATTGTTGATCAATACATTCAAGCCAGCATCCCCGACTATGGACGAGACTTCTTTGGCAATTCTGTCATGGCTGTTGAAGTCTTTGAGATCTGTAAAATATATTGATATTAAGTTATGTTATAAAATAACAATTTCAAATATTTTCATAATTGTGTGTTTTTTATAGCAATAATAGTGGTTTGTAAATTTTAAAGTATTTTATAAATTGTACTTCAAAATCAAAGTACATTTATGATGAGGAAAGGAAAGGAATGCTTTGAAAATATTGTTTAGCTTTATTAGCAAAAATCTTCCTTACCTAATTGTAGAACATGAACTTTGCCTGGTGTTGTTTTGACAGCTTCTTGAAGGTTCTGAAATAAAATACTGTAAGTAAATTTGAAAATTTTTTTTTAAAAGTCATTAAACACAATGATTGTAGATTTTAAACAACGAGAACTTCCAAAAATTATAGATACTGTGATTTTCAGCATTTTGTTTTTGTCGTAAAAGGTGCTTCAAGTCCAAGAACTTTAAGAAACCATGTGATTAATTCAAATCGTTATCACTTATGGAATGAAGCAAAGCCATCAAGAAAACATCAACAAAACCACGATAAGGATGGAATCAAAAACGTTCCTGACAATAACTTGAAACATACTGAGAGAAGCTCGCAGACGCATAGAAAAGGTGGGTATAATCAATTGGTACTGGTACTTGGACATCATACATTATGTGGTAGGTAACTGGTTGAATGTGGTTTTGTCCCTTTGGTATTTTCATCCTTTTGTGCAAAATGGTATAACTTATGATTATGTATGAAACACCTTGCACCTTCAAGATTCGGTTGATAGAAAAGAATAGAATTTTTTAAGATTTCGGGGGGGGGGGGTAAGGTGGTCAAACCCCCCCCCCCGAAATCTCAAAATGTTTGCTTGTTTATTGATATATTTTGATCAAACTTGGCAAATTTATTTATTTTATACTAAGCTATTAATATTTTACTAAAAATACACTTTATTAGTTTCCTTGTAGCAGCAAACCTAGGTACTCATTAGACCTAATGTTATTTAAGTATATTCAAATAGATTTAATTGAAAATCAATTCAGACAAATGGAAATTCGCTTAGTCGGCAGGCTATTTGCTGTGGTGGGGGTATTTCTAAATACTAAATACACCTATGTTATTTTTAATAAAACAAACTAATATGATAAGAATGTTTAATATCCTTTAAACATATTACAGCGTAGGGTATTCATTTTTTAGAACCGTGTCATGATATTGCAGTAATTAAATATATAAAATAAAGAAATAACGATATTTTAATTAAATAAGTTGGCCTAAAACAGTAGTTCTACTATATTTAATAAACCTTGTCATAAGTATCACTTTGACACACTTCACATTATCTTGTCCATATTATTTTTAATTAAGTAGAAATAATGTCAATACTTTATAATGTTTTTTACTTATCAGGCTAATTATTGTGTCATTTTTTAATATTAAATTTAATTTTACTAAGTACCTACCTATTAATTAAAAATATTTTCTATAAGTTCTTTGAAACATGGATAGTGAAAAGAAAAGTGAAAACATGAACTGAAATTATTGAAAAATGTCCATCACTGGTTAATTTAATTTATAACTTTAGGCCTTATAATTATTTGGTTATTTGGTACATAATTTACTGAAAATTGTAAAAGTTTTAAAAAGGTTCACTGACATTTTACAATTAATTATTGAGCATTTTCACTAAACATGTAGCTGTAAAAAATCAGAATCAAGCATGTCATGTTACTCATGATGACGATGCAAGTTTTTTTACACGCTGCGTGTGTGAATGTGATACGTGTTCGAGATTGTTCCATTCGAAGGGGGAAATCTTTTCGATTCCAAGAAATATGGCCATTCAATGTCAATGACTAATTAATATATGTGTGGGACTCCGCCAGCTGTAGCGTCAGCGTTCAGCATTGAGGTTGGTCGTGACGCAAGTCTGTCGTCACACTCGTTCACACTGCAGCGAGCGAGCAAGACATCGTTTGTAGTTTCTTTCACATCACCACAGTACACCCTTCAATTCTACAGTGCTTAGATTTTGTTGATTATTATTTATTTGAAACCGACAACTTTGTAACAGCTGTTTATCTTTAAAGTCAATCCCGTGATTTTTATCTACAGTCAGTGGGAGATTTTCTAGTCGAGGTTAAGTTTCTAGATTAGCAGAACTTGTCGCTCCATTTGCACCGGTGTTTATTTGCACAAGTGAACAGCTGTAACTGAACATGGCTCCTACCGGCTCAAGTAAGTAGTTATTGTTTTATAACATGTCTCAAAGATATACAACAACTCATAAATGTTATAGTCTAAATAAATTTAAAACTTACCGTTGCTTGATTTGGGTCCCGACATGTTGCAATAATGTGTTTCACAGAATTATCACTGAGCAGGTTCTTTACAAGCCCGAGACCTATACCACGATTGCACCCTGTTATTAAAACTGACTTCATCGTTATGGAACTTGATGTACCTATTTAAACTTTTATCGCCTGAGATAGGTGGCAAAGGATAATCTAGTGGAAAGTGGAACCTGTTTACTATGGCATCTTGTTTACGTAACCTCTTGTTTCGTAGTGATCGTGATCAAGTCTGGGATGAACGGGGTCAAAGTAAAATCTGTTTTTAAAAGTGACAATCATCTGTTGTTAAATTAAAGTTGTTGTCAATGGATTGAGTTTAAAAGGCGTATTATGTACTTAAAATCGATGTACTAAACATTGTTTATTTTAATATAAATAACCCAAAATGGCTTTTAAAGTGTTGAGACAAACCCTCAATCTAACCTTAAAATATCCTAGTTTTCAGTTTCAGCAACACCGATACATTTCGATTTCATCATTTAGGTTTAGTGATTCAAAAAGTAAGTTTCATGGAATTCCTTATTCTTTGATTCCAAGATGTTTAAGTTTATTTGTCATCATAAAATATTACTCATCCAACCAGCTGTTTCTTAACCTCCTCTAGTCAACATGTTATGATGTTATGTTGTGTATCCATATCAAATCAACTTTGATCTTGTGTAACTTGTTTACCATTGATTTGTTATACATTTTGTTTGATTTTATGGGTGGATGTGTTAGCTATTTGCAGTGTCAATTTGGGCTAGGTAAACAAATTAGTCTAAATTCAGAATCGTCAACAACTTAATAACTAAGAATATAGCTTATGCAAATGTCTAGGTTTAGTACACACATACAAATCTGCATTAAAAACCTTTTCCAAAACTCTTAAGTTAGCCTATTACCTTTGACCATCAATACAATAGTCAATGCTATTACTAAGACCTTGTAAAATAGGCTAACCAAACCAAAATTACTTATCAAACAACACAAACTTACTTAGATCTAATTGTGGTTTAGTCCATCTTTTGCATTAACACTGTAACTTTAACGTAAGTTAACAATTTGCTGTAAAAATGTTGTAAAAAATGCTAACTTATGTTCCTATTTTTAATCCATCCTGTAGCATTTAAGTCAGGTTAAGTGAATTAATATAGTAAGTAAACTTCATAACTTACCTCTCATTGGACAACAAGTACAGTAGGGACCGGTAACCTAAGTTAAACTTAACTGTAAACTTACTTTAAAATTGACAAAATGTAAGTACTAGGGCATAATTATGAATGTAGTGCCTGACTACTTACCTGTATATTATTTTTTATTTAACAGATCATATTTATTTATTTACTATTGATTTAATTATTGTTGTTCACTTTATCTTTGACAAAATACACATATTTTTACTCTTGTCTAGCATTTTTGTGAGTTCACAACTTCATTTAGGTAAGTAGGCCCTAACTTTAACTTATAATTTAATTTATGTGTTGAGTAAATTGTCCACTTTTATCATATATGTAATAGTGCTGAGTTAGTCTCCATAAAAGATCAATTATGTTAGTGTAGGATTAAGTTAACATAGAGCTTTAATTTTAAAGCCGTTAAATTTTTACATGATTTTAACTCTTTTTCTAGTAACTTAATGCCCAAAACCAAGTGATTTAATAAATTTTCCTAAGTTATTTTGAAGTATTTCAATTTTTATCATAGACCTAATTTACCGGAAAACATCTTAAAACTGAGGTATGCAAGATTATTATGGTCATTTTCTTTCACACTAAATTCACAATGAAAGCTTACGAAGTTTGTGGCTTTTACAGGTTCAAAGTACGACTACGATCTGGTGGTGGTAGGGGGCGGCTCCGGGGGTCTAGCCTGTGCCAAGGAAGCTGTCAGCTATGGCAAGAAGGTAGCAGTGTTAGACTTTGTCTCCCCTTCGCCTCAGGGCACGACCTGGGGTCTCGGCGGCACCTGCGTCAACGTGGGCTGCATACCCAAGAAACTGATGCATCAGGCAGCGCTACTCGGGGAGAGTGTTAGGGTGAGTCACTGTCAGATCAGTTTTATCCTTAAATGTGTACAAAATCCAACCCCCAATGCATCACGAAAAAAAGTAAGATACTGTAACCAATGTATTCATAAATTTTAAAAACGTACCCTAATCATATCATATATGAATAGCAACAGTGTCTAGGATACAGCTAACCTGGGAAACAGGAAGACTGGGATAGATTTATGATATGAATATTACGTCGTAAATTTAAGATTTTAACAATAAAAAACACTAGGCCTATATCGTGGAAAACGATCACAATGTTGCCGTGATCTCAGAGTCTTTGTGATCTTAAAAAGTTTCAAAAAATGTTTTTTAGGCGTAATGCAATTGTGGTAAATCGTCATGGATGTTACTGGTGTAATAGGAGGGTCAAATATTGTAAAGAGGAAGTGTTTGGCAATGTTGTGTGAGTAGGCTGGTAGTGTTGTTAAACAATAACTTGTTGTGCTGACCTACTGAAGGCTGTTGCTTTAAGTAGGCCAGTGCACTTGATCAAGGGGTCAGTTTTGTGTGGAGTGGTTTGTGTGGTGCACCGGAGGACAGGGTCCTGCTGGGGGAGCTGGAGCCCAAGGCCCTTGGCCTTGGGTCCAGGTAAGACAATGTAAAGGGTTTTAAAAATTAGGGTTTAGAGTCTTTTCCAAATTGGGGTTTAAGTTCCTAACTCATTTATACAGTTCCAGTCTACTCTACCTTTTTGATTGTTAGTTTAGCTTTGTGTTCTTCGTGTTGTTTTGAGTGATTAATAAAGTTGGGTTTTGTAAGCTAGTGCTGAGTTTCATTCCTGAGCTACGTCACCCAAAGTAACAGTAGGTATTCCAAGGGGAATACGACCGTTACACTGGGATGAAAAGCTGGGGTGATCACTGATGATGTGACCGAAATCGCATAAAAACACCAACAGTTATTTATTTGATAGAGTCAGTGTTGGGGAAGCTACTTTTAAAATGTAGCTAGCTACAACTACTGCTACATTTCCAAAAAAGTAGCTTAGCTACAGCTACAGCTACAGTTCCGAAAAAGTAGCTAGCTACAACTACAGCTACAATGAAATGTAGCTACAGCTACAATTTTAGCTACTTTTCCAAAGACGTTAATTTTTATTCCACGCACATTAGGTAAATGTAAAATTAATTGCAACTACATTTTTATTTAACAAACATTTAAAAAAATGTCAGTATTGTATCTAACATTACTTGGAAAACAAATTATTCATAGATTGTATTTAATTTGTTGGCATTATAAACCTAACATTACAACAACAGAACCAAATAGTTGGGTGTCCCATCATATTTAGTACTTATTTTTAAATATTGCATTATTTTTAAGCATCTTAAAATGTAAATTTCATTAAGTTCAAAGGACATACAACCAAACTATATTTTAAAAGCTCATTTTATTAATTTAATATAGATTCATTTATAGATGTTTTATATCAACAATTAAGACCAATAAAACTGTAAAAAGATTATTAAAAAATACTTTTTTGTGTTACTGAGCCTAGCCTACTGAAATTGGAGTTTATTGCCTTTCTTTACTTTTCATGTTAAAAACGACATTGCTATAACTTTTAAAGTGATAAATTACTTGTTCTACGAATAACACTTTTCAATGTCAAGAAATCGTCCTTTATTGTCATTATGCATAGGGCAAATTGTGCTTCAACCTAGTGTTGGTAGAGAAAACAGTATTCAGCAACTTATCCTGAAATCGGCTTTTAATTTAAACATTATTTAATTTTTAAAGTAAAATAACATGTAGGCCTACTTGGCTATGTAACAAGTTGGCTATAGTAGGCGTGTTCTTGCAAGGACTAAACATATATATTCATAATAATTGAACTTGGAACTTGGTATTCATCTTAAGCCATAGCCTCAGCCCTATACAAGAGCTGTTAGCAGGAGCAAACTATGCTATTTTTTCAATGTAAGTTTCATGTTATATGGAGATTTTTTCATTACAATTATCATGTAGTCTAGGCATATCTTAAATCTCATCAGGTAATTTCCTCATTGCTAATTTAGTAAACCTTTGAAAAATCTTCGTAATCTAACCAAAGAAGGGCTTGTGATGATAAACCACAATCAACAGCTGAAGCAAAGGTTGATAGACCAGCTTTCTCATTATTTTAAGGAGTGTTGGTTCCCATTAAACCCCAAGTTGAAGCATTATCGATATAATAAAGAAACTAAATTACTAATTCCCCTGTCCTGTCAATCACTTGCAAGCATTCAATTCAATAGTTCTCTTCTTGTCACCGTACCGTTTAAACGTCGTCTGCATCTAGCGATTTTATTTAATCTGACAGTAATCATAGAGTAGTAAATTAAGGAAATGAGAGCCAAAAATGTGGATAACACTCATTTAATGGCCTCTATGTCCACACAACGTTGTAATAAGGAATGAAACGGCTGCAACCAGCTGTTTGAAGCCAAGAAAGTAGGCCTAATTTTTTTGAAAATCTCAGTTTGAATTTGAAACAGGTTGTTTCACGTAAGGTTGAGGTTATGATAATAATCACTATCTCAAACAAATGTTGATGTAGCGAGAAAAGTAGCTAAAATTCCGCTACAACTACTTTAAAAATGTAGCTAGCTACAGCTAAAGCTACAAATTCTTAAAAGTAGCGTAGCTACAACTAACGCTACAAAAAAAGTAGCGCGCTACTGTAGCGTCGCTACTTGTAGCAGCTACTTGTAGAGAAGTTTTCCCAACACTGGACAGAGTTAGGCCTACTTATCACAAAAGGTGTCGATGAATGTGAGAAATCATTACGGAAGCTACTCAATCATGGGAAATCATCAGTGATGTGCCGCAATTACTTGAAATTCTCACAACATTAGTCATATAATAGTAATTTCATGATTTCAACATTTTCTTTAACATTACTTGGCAGGTTTTATTTAGTAGGTAACCACTTACAGGAGATAACAACATGTTTTGCTTTAATGGGATTTAATAAATACAAACAGTAACTGAACTGTAAATGAATATATAACAGACTAGTATTTAAATACTTACATCTGAGTATTAACATTGAGTAAACGATCTTAAAATAAAAGGTATTCAACAATTAAAACTAAATGTTCTGAACAAATTAATTTTTTTTTTTTTTGCTTGAGCCTGTCAGCTGTTGACTGTCGAGTTAGGGAGGTTTTACTGTAGTATATTTTAGTTAGGTAAGCCTAGTTAAATTTTATATACCGGTATAGTCTAACCCGTCGATTTCTGTATTGTACAATATAATGCTCATAATAACAATTGTTATATTTGCACATTTAGCCATACAATTCATGTATTAATTTTTAATTCTATTTATCTAAATTGCAAAATTGTGTAGTACTGAATACAAGTTTTTTGTCAGTTTCAATTAATTATAGCAATTGTTTTTACTTATCAGAGATGTGTCGATGAATGTGAGAAATAATTTTTTCCTAAACCTTATCACCGAATTCCTCTGTTATCTACAAATTTTAATTTTCAATTTTGTCTGATAACTTTCTAACCAGTTGGCCTACTTTTTAACCAGTACCAATCATATAGATCAAAGTATAAAAATATCCGTGGACTAGATATTTCTTTACATTTGTTTCTTTATATACATTTTTTATTTTTAGACTGTAACAATAAAAAAAAGTTTGCTTATTAAAGTACAATGAGTTTTGTGTCAACAAAGGTAAACTTTTCAAGTCTATTAGGCTATGACAAATTAAAATTCCAAGGTGGAGACAGATAATGGGTGTAATCTAGAAGAGCCTAGTAGTAAGGTAATTGAAGGTCAAATGATTACATAACTATTGGCTCACCAACCTGTTTGTATATTGACTGAGGTAGTCGTACCGCATTGATCCATTACTTAAAATTTAACACTTGGACTACCTTGTCATGTCATACCCTACTGTTACCATGACATGACCATCGATCATTATGTTGCAAGATCTTCTGTTGAAACTTTTGAAGAATGTACTTACTAGCCTACCGGTACTTAATTTTGAATATTTGTGACGCTGATAACATTTTAAACATAAATTATGAAACATCAAGTAAAATGTGTAGTACTAACCAGTAAGTTATGAAAAAACTAGCCTAAATTATCAGTGTAATGATTGGCAGGAAAAGTTATAGATTTTAACTTAATTTTGTAAAATTGTTACTATAGCTTACTGAATTACTGTAGTGAATAATTTTACGGAAAGTCAAATTTTACGGAACATGTACGATGCTGATCAAGAAGTTATTTATTGAATAATTTTGTAAATAAGCCAGTAGGCCTAACAATATCCATTTTGCATGGATACTCATATTGAGTACCTTAATAAATTGATTGGAAAACAACTGCTTTGTAATAAAACTCCATGTTGAATAATCGGTTGAGGACCATTAATCTTTTACGGAGCGAAAAATAATGTTACTATCAACATTTTTTATCTGGTTTCTTAATCAATCATGTCATAAATTGTCTATTATCTCTTAAATATTATGTCTGAAAGTATTGTTTTGGATCATTTACGTTAAACAATCATGTGGCTGGTTAATGTGAATTCCCGAAGTTAGCTTCTTTAAAACTTTTTAGATGTAGTATTTTGAGATTTTATGTTGTATTCACTGTTACTTGTTTTAAACTCAATAAACTGGGATTTAAATTTGCTTTGGTACACTGTTAACCTAGTACTGGTACTTATTAGTCAGGGACTCCGAAAACAATGTAATGATTTCTTTGAGTTAATTTTGATTCCATTAGGCCTAATTAATGTTTAGTGAATATTCATATTATGCGGGCATTATTCGTTTCAGTGCTTAATTTGAGGCAATACACAAAAAAATAAGAACAAAAATTGACAAATTTAGAGGATGTCTGTATCCGTCTGATGCAAATGTTTTGACTTTTAAGTAGTTCTGTTTTAAAGAAAATGGTTTAACCAAACCAATAGGCTCTTGATGTTCTGGTCTTGTTACCATTTAATGTCCACATTCCATTATAAACCATTTTTGTATTGTGGTACTTGCTGTCTGTTAGTGACACTGCAAGATGTCTGAGGGAAGTAAACTAGAGAATTTTTTTGTCAAAGCGGCTCAATTTCTAGAAAAAAGGCAGGGTTCACTTGAGCGACATACATATCTGGTACTTACTTTCCGTTTCCGGAAATCAGACTTCGCTTTTCCAAAAATTAGCTACCGATATGGCTTTGTCATTTGCATGTAAAAGATCATCTTATGTGCAAGACTGGTCTAGACGTGGGCAGATCAGCAGATGGCCAGGATCCTGAACAGCACCACACGCGCACAAGATGTTTTCTTATAGATATGTTTTTCTATATCTGGTAAGCAATGAAAACAAAGGAAAGTATGCGAGCTGCAGCGCGATGACCGGCCGCTCGTGTGAACGCTCCCATATGGCTGTACGTGTATCGTTACGCCGCTAGAGCTATTGACTTGCTACCCGTGATAAGTTGCGACACTTGCCTGGGAAGCGGGGTCTGGCAATGGTTTGTGACACCAAGCTCGATCGCTGTCGCAGTACGCTCGTGTGAACGGCTCCATTTGATCCTGTCCTGTGGACCTAGTCAAGCCTAGTCAGCTGGATGTTTCACTCGTGTGAACCGTGTGTAAAGCTCTACATAAAATATTGCATTACCCTGTTACCAAATACTTGTGACATGAATAACCTCCAGATGTATTTTTCAATTTCCTTATTTCACTTCAAGAATTTTTTAAATGGTTATGTATTTTGCTTATAGGAGGCAAAAGAATATGGCTGGGAGATTGAAAACCCGGAGAAGATCAAAATCAACTGGGAGAAACTGACAGAGGCTGTGCAGAACCATGTTAAATCTGTCAACTGGGTGACTCGAGTCATGTTGCGGGAGAAGTGAGTTGTCCCTAGCCTAGTTTGGAGTAACTAAGTAACCTAACCTAATGTGTAGAACAGTTCTGGATAGGAGTCTAAGGGGCGGTTTGGGAGCTCGGTATTAGCGCTAGTCCGCGACTAAATCCGGATATTTCCGGTATTTTAGGCTGCCGCCTCGAAAACGGGTTTGTGAGCTCGGGATCAGTTAGGCGTGCGCCTAACTTGTGCAGGGATAATCTCGCGCCTAAATATTGTTGGTTTGGGAGTCAAGTAGACTTAGGCGCCAGCCCAAGAGATAGTCTCGGTGGGTTTGGGAGACCAATTTCGGGACTAAGAGATATGTTTTCGTCATAAAAATCAGTGAGTTTAGTCCCCAACTTTAGTCCTGCCAGGGGGCAGGTCTAAGTCGACATCATGCCGGTATTAGCTCATTAGCAAGTTAATTGTTTACATATTAAGTAAAAGAATGTTATATTGGAATTCGTTATTAAATTCCGAACAATTTCATTACCCTCAAAGTATATTTGATAAAAGTTTTTTTTTAGGTTTCTGTTGTTGAAAATAATAAAAAAATCTTGCGGGAAGTAATTTAACGAAATATTATTTTGTTTTTGTCTTAACTGTTAACTTCAATAAAAATATGGAGCCTGAATATAATTTATTTCAACTGATAGTTTGGTTATAAGCACCCGTACCTTACCTTAATTATAAATATTATATTAGCTTGGAAAAAATTAGCAACCGCATACATGCCCCCCCCCCCCCCACTCACCTCCTACGAAAGAGTGAAGAGATAATAAACAAAACATAAAAAAACTGCAAATAGCTCACAGTTATAATCGTTTTATTTTTATTGCGTATCAATAATCCCGCCACAGAAAACCTACAGACTACGCGAATATCCAATAACCTAATAGGACTTTCAATTAAATTTATTTAAATAGCTTTAGGTTTAACAAGTAACTAGAACTACCTACGTGTAAGTATACTACTACAGGGAGGGCAATAAAGTGTGTTTTTACTAAAATATTAACAGCTTTATATAAAATAAATAAATTTGCCAAGTTTCATCAAAATATATCCATAAACTACAAAACTACAACAGTTAACTTCTCCATGAGAATCACATGGAAGTTTTAAATTTAAGATTTGTTGAATAGTCTCTGTAGCCATTAACCGTACAAAACATTTTAAGATACTAATTTGTTTTTTATACTCTTTAAAATATTTTAAAGATAAAGATTTATGTTTTAGGGGGTTAAAATTGAGGTAAAAAAACTATTTTTATCCCATAAAACCCCGGGTTCCCATGGTCTGATCATGCTGGTTCGTGAACTCATTAAGGTTTATCGCGCCTTACACTTTCATGCAAAATGTTATCAAAATCAGACAAAAATTACTCAAGTTGGCACGTTCATGGACGTGTATATAATCTATGGGCTATACATATATAAACATTAGAACGAATAGGGACGAACGAATAGGGGATGTTTTTGGCCTCTAGGGACATCAAAATGGAAAAGTATATCGGTCCCGGAACTAAGTGCTACCTACGGTAATAGCTACTTCCCTATAGGAAAGTTAGATAAAAGAGTGTCATGTTTAAAAATTTTTTAATTGACAAAAATGTTTTTGTAAGTATTATCAGATAGGTATACATTTGCTTCACACTATCATAACCTCCGCAATTACTTAAAATACTCTTTATTTTATTTCCGTCAATACCCATATATTATACAGGGCAATTGCTGTTTAATTTTGAAGCTTTTTATTGCATGAAACCGAGTTTCAGATGTTACCGTTCCACACACAGGGTAATCTTTGTTAAATGATTAGGCTACCTAATGTTTTTGATCTCTGAAAGAAATCATATTGATTTTCAGAAGCCTATGTTGCTCTGTACGTATTTATAAGGTGTAGTACCAGAAATAAAACATAGCCGTCATTGAGATGTAAATAAACGATCTTACAAAACTAAATTTTTGCAATGGTACAATGCAGAAACTTAAACCATAGTCTACTAATTATCCACCGTTGATATACCATGATAAAATTGTATCCATCTTCAATTGTTCATCGTTTGTTGTTGTCAACGGTAACGTGCTCTGCAGTGGCCGTTGCCAACGTCAAAACATGAATTCCCCGCGATTCCCTGTCCATCTAGCTGCGCTGCAACTTAGGCGCGACTATACTTGATCTACGACCATTTCAACTTAGGCGCGAGCTCCCAAGCCTGGTTTCTTGTCCGGGGACTAAAGTTAGGCGCGTCTAACACTAGGCGCGTACTAGCTGGGCTCGAGCTCCCAAACCGCCCCTAAACGTCCAATATATTCGGGTCGTTCAGGCCAACAGTTGGGCCAAGGGATTGGTTCGAGCTGGAAATAATTTTCAAGCCGGGTCATTTATGTTAAACAAGTGCAAGTGTCTTGATTTTTTTACCATGAAGATATTTTGTCTTTGCGATCACAGAAAGTGTATGCAATGATGTGTGACTGAGATGACTACTTTTGAGATGACACTAGATGATTTCATCTTGATGGCGGGTTATGGAGTACAAAATTGTATAACCCAATGTTAAGTATACAATTGATGGTTTAAAAAATTTAATTAATATACACACAAAGGGATTTAGAAATTTAGTAAGAAAATATCTCCAAGATAAAACTTGTTATTCTGTACAAGATTTCTTTTTATAGCTCTATCAATCCATCCAATAATCTTTTCTATAAAAATAATTTTCAATGATTATGGGAAAAACTACAAATTATAAGATCTGGTGAATTTAATAAACTTGTCTTTAGCCCTTCTTGTTAGGCCTATATAATCAACCAAAAGAGTAAAAACAAATCAACTAAATTCATATTAAATACACTACACCATTAACATGTACGAATAAATTAAATTGTTAAGGATTGCATAAATAAGAAACATAACGTTCTTGTTTGTGTTTTGTTTCTGTGACTATTCATGTATGTATGTACAGCTTGAATAAAGATTATTTTATTTTATGATGGGGAAATTCGCTAAGTCTGGTGCAGACCGCGCAGACACCTAGTTTCATGCAAAACTAATAATTTAACTGCTTTTAAATTTCATCATACTAACAAAAATATTATTATTGTATTTCTTGAAGTGAGCTAATTTAAGAATTAACCAAATAATTGACTGGTTAAAAGAATTTTTGTTAATGCTGTATTCTAAGAAATTTAAAAGAGTCGGGTGATCCCAGATTTTCAATATTCATTATAAATTTACACACTTGAAACAACATTCTTAAACAAATAAACCAGCATCTGGTTTAGGTCTGTTGTTGAACAAATACAAATATTACCTTAAACACTAAATAAACATCCCTCACTGACAACATTGCTCACTACCATCAATACTTCTTTTTAAATATATAATTACATGTATGGAAAAAAGTTTTTCCCTTGTCTTAATGTAACACAAGAGTAGTCATTGTGATGATAAAGGCCTGTGGACAAGTATCATGAGTTTTCAATCTGTATCAAAATATTCAACATACCTATGATATCTATGTTCCTAGCCACAAAAACAAAGAAGTATCCACATAAATGTTACTATATTACTGCAAGATTCAATTGAGATTTATTTAATCATATGATTTTATCTTGCAGGCAGATTGAGTATGTGAACGGCCACGGAGAGTTTGTGGATGACCACACGATGTTGGCGCGACTCAAGAACGGCAAGGAGCGAACGCTGACTGCGGACAAGTTTGTGATTGCCGTCGGAGGCAGACCCAACTACCCTGACATCCCCGGCGCCAGGGAACATTGCATCACCAGCGACGACATCTTCAGTCTACCCAAACCTCCAGGCAACACGCTGATCATTGGTGCTGGCTGTATCCTTTACATTTATACTAGAAATGGTTAAAACAAAGTAAACATGAACTCTATATGACCAATCACAAGCCAAAACAAAAATTTGTGATCCTGACGGCTGTTTGTTTGCTCAAATAGAAGGAGGTTATGGTGTTTCATTTCATTTATTTATTTCATTTCAAGAGCAAATACACCAATACTTAATAGGAAGCATGATGCATCATGGCTGCATACAAAAGAATATACAGAAAGACATTAGTGTTGGTTGGTTCAGTTCACTTGGGGACAGTGATTTTTAAATTCAGTTTGTCAGTTTATATTTTACACTGCATTTCCTCACATCTTTGAGGCCGATTTTGGGCCTAAGGCCACAAAGTGTGGATTTATCTTGGGTAGAAAACATCGCCGGCCAGGGAAAAAGATCTACCCAACTTGGATGGATGACTGGTGTTTTTGTTGCTCTTAAATAAGGACTCTTGTACTTATAGGTTGAAAGTGTATTAGTGTGCTTCTGACCTAGGTTTACTTGATGGATCAAGGTAACTTAAATCGTTTTAGAAAAATAACCGTCAAATCTCAAAAAATCAAAAAAAGTAAAATCAATACCGTACTCAAACTAAAAGTAATCTGGAAAATCAAATGCCCTAAACTACATGTACCATTTTGTTCAAAAGTTTTAACATATCCCACAGAAATCAGTGATTGATACTTATGACTCAGTTCTGAAATTGTCGTCGTCTTTAACAGGACATGTTGAAGGATCTCTACCTCTATCAATAGTTATCAATGGAAACAAGCCGGTCTAGCAGAACGCAGGACTTAGGTCCGCAAGACCACAAGTTCAAATCCTCCTAATCACCAATAGATTTAATCTAATGATAATGGCGCGACACTCTAGGACTAGCCTAAAGTAATGGGTTAATCGGTTCCAGACTAGAGTCCAGCATTCTAGTATGTAACGTACGGTAAAAAAATTAAATAATCAACAGTGAAAAGTGTGTACATTTCCTTAACGAGTGTGGTGTAGACATCGGTCTGGAGTGTGCTGGGTTCCTGCGAGGGATGGGTATGCAGGCTACAGTGATGGTGCGCTCTGTAGTGTTGAGAGGCTTCGACCAACAGATGGCAGAGCTGCTCACAGAGGAGATGGTAGAGAGAGGCATCAAGTTCCTGTTGAAGTGTGTCCCGCTCAGCGTCACCAAGAAGGAGAACGGCGCCTTGCGAGTGCAGTGGAAAAACCTGCAGGTCAGTCTTGCCAAAAAGCTTACTAGTCGTTAAATCTAGCACGGTTGTATGATGGTTACATATTAAATGACCTGAAAGTTCTAAGGAAAGAAACTAGTTGTCAAACCAAAAACTGTGGTTGGATAAGGTAATAATTTTATTTTATCAATAAATGACTTGATATTTAGTAATAGTCAGCCAGAGAAAGGCACATTTAATCCTTAATAAAGAATTTGGGTGTAATAATGCATTGTGTACTTTGGCTAAGGTTTGCAGTAGTGATGGTCAAAACCAGAAATTTTGAATCTTAAATCTCAAAACCTAGACGCAAAACTTTTAACTTAGCTGATTACAAGGTTTAAGGTTACCAAAAAATACAGGTAATATTAAAATGTTAAAAGTATGCAATCAAATTGAAAGAGGTCGACTCCTGACACCGACATAATAACATAAATATGTGGCTGAAAAACCCGAAACAACATAATTTTTTATAACATTAAAATAAATTAATCTCTTGACACAAACATTTTTAGAACATTTTGTGGTAAATATTTATTTGTGTTTATTAAATCTCGCTATGAAACTGAGTTGTATGTTGTTCCAGTTATAGTATTTAATATGCCTTTTGAAGTTCAAAATCAGAATACAATATACAGTTTTCATTACTCTGCTGTTAATGGTGATCTGTTTGATCTATTGCTACCAGCTTGTGTGAAAAGTGGAAACAGTGTTAGACACAATAATAATGACGGAAAGTATGTCAGCAGTTTCAAGAATAAAACTGCCAAAATCTTCAATTACGAAACTTATGAATCTCGAAACCGAAACATTTCCAAAGTTTTGATGGTTTTGAAATTTGAGATTTGGTTTTGACAAATCACTAGTTTGCAGTAATATCATCATAACACATCACTAGTATAAAGATTATATTTCTTCAATAGGTACAAAAAATTTAAACACTAAGAAAGAAGTATCAATATTTGTTTTGGAAAACGATTTATCTTACTTTGTACTCATATACCGCAGTGCGGAGTTTAAATTCAAGTATCCTAACCATTGATTTTTGCACGATCTAATTAATACATTTTCTACCTTAGTTTGTTACTGAGATAGTTGATACCGCATAGAAAATTATGTAGCTTACAGTAAGTTGTCGTATTCATTTTGGTTAAAAATTTGGTAAAGTAATAACTACCATAGTTATTTTAGCACACACTTTCTGTGGCTCAATTAACAATGTTTATTTTGATTCAAACACTTTTGAAAACTTTAACATGTGGTTGGAATTAATAGTCAAAGCATCGCGTTGTTTTAATGTTACAAAGCAAACAAGTGTAGTGCGAGGGTGTCCACTGCCCAGCTGACTGGGAAAACCTGTCATTATTGTTCTTACTGTATGTTCCATCTCCATGGCTTGCTGGATACTTTTTTTTTTTTTTTTAATAGAGGGCCAGGCTTCAAGTAACCATGGGATTGCATCGCAGCTAGAACAGCTTATTGTGCACCCTCATTCACAGGTCCTCATTCTTTGTCAAATCCCAGGTCCTTTGTGAACCGTGAGATCCTTTTGACAATGGTGACCCGTTCTTCCCTTTGATCTCCAGTCGATAGGCCAAGGGATCTCATGCGCAGACCTTGCAGGGCTGGGCACATAAATATCACGTGGAATGCTGTCTCCTCCTCCTCTCCACATTTCCTACATAAGAGGCTTTCAACTTGAATTCCCATCTTGTGTAAATGTCCACGGAATACCCAATGGCCGCTAATAAAGCCAACCACCTTCCTCAGGGTCTTCCTACTCAGCCCAAGGGCTTCTGCCGCTATCGCACCTGTAGGTGCCTTCAGCATTCTCTTTGACTGTGGCTTGCTGGATACTGATAATGATAACGATATTTCAGGATGACTCTCAGTACGAGGCAGAGTTTGACACTGTGCTGATAGCCACAGGTAGGAAAGCTCTGACGTCCGAACTGAATGTGAGCAACGCCGGAGTACAGGTGATCCCGGGCAACAGCAAGATAGACGCGAGAAACGAGCAGACCAACGTGCCTCACATCTACGCAGTGGGAGACGTCTTGCATGTGAGTCGGATGTTTCCACTATAAACATTAAGCGGATAAAAACTTCTTCAGGGAACGTGCAGGACAAAAATTTCTGGGTGGTTAATGCACTTCCAGCTCACAATCTAGGCCTACGTAAATATTTTGTAACCACTTGCTTTTGCAGAGTGACTGATTTGATGTCTTTCTGCTATTATCTTTTTCTCTTTTCCACTAACTCGTCTGGATGTTTATCTCTCAGCCTGTCTAAATCAAGGGAACTTTCAACCTTTTTAATACTACACAGTGTAGACTGGTGAGGTCATTGTTTAATTTTGGTGGGTTAATATTACTGATTGTGTGTATTAAAAAGTACTTGCTCTATTCTGGGAAGTTAGAAAACTTAAATTGTGATCAGATTTTCACAATTTATTCCAAAATACTGAATAAAAAAGTATTTTGATAAAAAAGTTGAATTTTAAAAGATTAAGAATCATCATATCTTTGACTTTTGGTTACTGAAGTAGACATACCATCTGTATGGACCAGGTCCGTGAAGTTGGCGTACCCATATTAGCGTATCCACTTTTGATCATACCAATCGTTAGTTCATCGTTAGTTCTCGATAGTTACCAAATTTTGTCGTTAGTTCTCAAAAAATAAAAAAGTTATAGCCGATAATAAGTACCCACTGTATTGTATGCCATATTGTATAACTGTGAAGTTAGCGTACCCACTTTGTATGCCTCGTAACTTTTTTACTTTTTGAGAACTAACGTAAATATTGGAGAACTATCGAGAACTAACGATTGGTATATAGATATAAGCATTTTTATTCAAAAAAGTGTGCCCGCTGGAAATTCTATAATTGTGAAGTTGGCGTACCCACTTTGTATGCCTCGTAACTTTTTTATTTTTTTAGAACTAACGAAAAAATTTGGGAACTATCGAGGATTAACGAAGAACTAACGATTGATATATAGATGTAAACATTTCTCGTCAGAAAACGGCGCGCGCTAGAACCCGGAAGTGTGAAGTTAGCGTACCCACTTATTTACGCTATAAATAATTATTATAGGCTAATAATTAGCCTATAATAATTAGGTATATTCCTGGGCACACATATCAAAAATTTCAAAAGCCGTTCAAGAACGGCTATACTTTTTTATTTTTTGAGAACTAACGACAAAATTTGGGAACTATCGAGAACTAACGTTGAAGGTATGATCAAAAGTGGATACGCTAATATGGGTACGCCAACTTCACGGACCTGTATGGACCAGCTACTGAGGCTAATTTTTTTATTCAAAAACTTTTTGTTGAATGAGTCGCTCACCAAGTCATCCATCCTGTTATTTAATAAAGGTTCGGGTATAACTTGCTATTTTCTATTCGCCCGCAGGAGAAGCCAGAACTGACACCAGTGGCCGTGCAAGCAGGCAAGCTGTTGGCCTCCAGACTGTACGGAGACGGCAAGACACAGATGGACTATCACAATGTAGCTACTACTGTGTTCACGCCTTTGGAGTACAGCTGTGTGGGCCTCAGTGAGGAGGAGGCCGTCAAACAGTTGGGGGCCGACAACGTGGAGGTTTACCACGCGTACTATAAGCCTACGGAGTTCTTCATACCGCAAAAGAACGTGAAACACTGCTATCTGAAGGCCATTTGTGAGAGGAGGGGAGACCAGAAGATACTAGGATTGCACTTCCTGGGACCCGCAGCTGGGGAGGTTATGCAGGGATACGCTGCTGCGCTCAAGTGAGTATAAAAATACATGGTACTAATAAAAGTGGTTTGCAATTCTATTAAACTTTTTTCGACTAAGTACCAAGGGTTGTCCAATAAGTTAATCTTAATTATTTGGATGTTCAGTAGAGTTCTGGTGTACCCTGCTATTTCACAAACTATAGGTTGGAAATTATTTAATTATATAAAAAAAAAATACATAACTAACTATGACACTTTGAACGTCGTCAAAGCCATGTCATCGCAAATGTTGGAAAAGCTTGCAGTACTTTGCCAAAGCTGGCAATATTGCCAAAGTTAGGGATATTGATATGCTGTCGCATAATGAGCAATAACACCAAGAACATTAAAATGCTAGCAATGATTTCACAAACTTCAGCAACGCTATTGATGTCGTGTGGGTGTATATCTCGTGACACCGGCCTTTAACGCCCATATCTTGTGATCGCATCTAAATTATTGACATTTGTGAAAGTTTCGCCATCGATAGGTTAATATTATTTATTACATCTGCTTATTCTGAATATAGTTCAGTCCCAGTTAGGAAAAGTGTGATGTACTGTATCTTAACTCTTAACACTCTCACTCCATTCATCCTTGGCTTAAAATACGTACCTTTGTATGGTCGCCATTTCAGTTAAAAGTATTAATGGTATTAGGAATAATGTGTGTAACTGTAATGTGACTTGTGTTCCAGGGCTGGTATCACCTTCAAACAGTTGGAAGGTACAATAGGAATACACCCTACTGTTTCGGAGGAATTTACCCGTTTAGTCATCACTAAACGATCCGGCCTAGACCCCACCCCGCAGAGTTGCTGCAGTTAAACAGTTACAACTCCGTCTGCGATGAACAACAAGCGTACAATACTCACTCGCACCCCACCCCCCCCACCCACTCCAGTATTGGTGTCTTTACTCACTTGATATTTATCCTTGGAAGCTTTGTTAGGTAAAGGGCGCTCTTATTTGTTAAGTTTACATTTGTCATCTTTTAGAACTTTTTTTTGTCAAACTATGTTTTTAATATAAATTTGCGAGTGTAAATAATTATTAAACATTTAGCTACTGTAATTTGTTATAATAAATAAGTTTTTTTTAAACTGTGTTGCATCTTATTGTACCTTATTAAGATTTATTTTTATTTGGAAGTTTTATATTGTTTGTTTTATGTTGTACGGAAACGGAATTAAATGTGGGTTAACCTGTGTCCAAGTTGTTCAAAACATACAAGACACCCTCTTGTTCGACAACCTAAGATCTGTGCCATGTATGTAGTGCTACAACAATATACTGAATGTTTACAGAAAACAGCAATCAAATTTGTACGTTTCAAGCGATTATCAAGCGTAACAGATCCTAACAAGTATACTGTATATTGTCATTTGCTTAGTTTTCATAAGCCAAATGACTTAGGAACAGATTTAACAGTGTGCGTGTCATCACTATTTAAACGAATATTCGTCAATAAAATATTTAAAAAGAATGTTCCTTCACCGAGCTGATCGAGGCCTCGTGCGGCCCATGCTCTGCATATCAGCCAATCCTCCAGGAATATATGCATGAAGGCTCTTAACTCAAACTATCTATTCATCACAAAACATTTGTTGTTGTTCCAGCATGTGACAAGCAGTGGTATATTCATAAATTGGTTAGTGTTGAAAAGGTAACCATCCTCTGAGCACCTACCAACATCGGGTACGCGGGAGATGGTTACAGTTTTGCGGCAATTGTGGAAGACAATGATGATTATGTCTCCACAAATACAAACAATTTTTACAATCACCAGAGGGCTTTGAGTTGTTAGTTGTTTTTTAAGGATTGCAAGTTGGCGGATTGCGGCCGAATCGGTCTAGAGTCGAGGATCCATTGCTAGATGTGTTTTTACTTGTTTTGATATGTGGAATCGGGCCCTGCACAGTTGAGCATTTTGTTACATCCTGAATAATGTAAGGTTTAACATTATTTTATTGTTTTAATTGTATTTTAACAGTTTTTAAGTGAATCAAGCTTGTATCTGCTGATCAAGTATTCCAGCCATAACAGACAGTCATTTTGATCATCTTTGTATTAGTGCTAAGATGGACTACTTCTTGTTTGTTTATTTTGTAAAACAAGTTTTTTTTTCATTTAATTTGCTGTTTCATGGCGCTTGCTGAAGACAATGGTGATGCCTCCGCGAATCACCATCGTGGATAATGTGCATAATCATTACGCTATCACGAGACTCATGACTTATTTGCAACTGTTTAAACGCGTTCTGCCATTGTCGATTTATGACTAAAAAACTCGGATTGACTATTAACATGGGATATTGGTAAAAGCAGTGTGGGATGGGATCGCTGTTCCGTTCGTATTTCACTATACCACCAGTGACTCATCAAAAACTTAAAAAACTAAACAACATACGAGTAATCAGTTGTCGGTAATAAGTATCAGGGAAAGCCTTTTATACAATCGTACAGCCTAACCAGTAACTTTCTGACAAATAGTATTTCTTAGTAGTTTCAGACTGCCTCACATCGCAACACCAATTGTCTCTTATAAACAAAAATGCCCCCACTGTAGCAAACCTGCAGGCTAAGCACATTTCAATTTGAATATTTTCTTAAATATTTCTATAAACAAGTCAAATGTATTATATACCACGTGCTTAGGTTTGCTGCTACGAGAGAGAAAGAGTTGTTAATAGAGAGAAGAGTTAATAGTATAGGATGAAATAAGGAAATTGTAAAAATAAAATATATCTATAAAGAAGTAAACTACAACAACAACAGTTAAATTATTCTCCATAAAATTAACATGGTAATTTTGTATTTGTTTTTTTATCCCTTCCTCTGAAGCTTTCAATAAATTAAATTAATTTTATGAGCCCTACAAAATAGGTGTTTTTCACATACATAAAACTTTGGAATACCCGCCATTTAGGCTAGGGATGAAATATATAATATATATACGGGTTTGCATCAATGTAATTCTTTTGACAAACCCTTAAAAATGAGGGGTTGTTATTTAAAAAAGTCACCATCGCCCCCTACCCTGGTACAGGGTTTGAAAAACATTTTTGTTGTAAAAAAATGTGTATCTTTTGTGAACATCAATTCCACAAACAATATATTTTTATCAATTTTGGTTAAAAAATACAGATTTGTATCCATATTGAAATTGGTGATTTTCACATAGGCCTAATTCAAATTTTGGATTACCCACCATTTTGGCTAGGGGTGAGATATCCACCTCGGGTTTATGTCATTGCATTTCTTTTGACAAATCTTTCAAAATGATGGGTCACTCAATAGGGGTTGCTATTATTTGAAAAAATAAGTCACCTCCTACCCTGTTTGAGGGGTTAAACAATTTTATTGGTGTAATAAATAATGGAACCTTTGTTTCTATCTATTTCGGCTTAAAAAATACAGATTTGCTTCATTAATTTACACACTGTATATAATCAATGCTTCAATCAAGGTCATCGGAGCCGGTTTTGTGAAAATCTGATTTTCTGTTGTTTTATGGGTTAAAAATTGCCACTAATTCACATATATATTCTGAACTATGATGCTCGTTGCTATTTTCCTCTGATCATAGAAGAAATATCTAAAGCTGGGTTTTCCTAGGCGCGGAGTTGGCGGGCGGAGAGAGGAACGCGGAGAGCGGAATTGAAATTAACATGGCATTCCGCTCCGCTTCTAGGAAAACGGTAACATTAAATTGCCTAAGACAAGTGGAGTCCGCTCTCCGCGTTCCTCTCTCCGCTCGCCAACTACGCGCCTAGGAAAACCCAGGTGAAGGATAGCTCAGTGGGTGAAGGCAGTGTTTCTTCCACGGCCGCCTTTAACTACAGGCCGCGGCCTTCGAACTGGCAACGTCGCAAGTGGTGTTGTAACAGCTGATTTTTTTGGAAGCAACTAATGGTATTTGTGTATTTACGAAAGATTGATTACTACTGGACTATGACAATATTGACTCCGCTTAAAAATGTACAGATATAGATTTTAATTCATATTGTTTCAATTTTCAATTCTGTATTTTTTATTTTCAATATTTTAATAAATTTTTGTTCATAAATTAAAAATTAAATCAATAAAGTGCGAATTAATGAGCTGATGTCACCTGTCTGCCATGTTATCTTATGGGACGTCTGTCACTGAACAACACCACTTGCGATGTTGCCAATTCTACCCATGGTGGAAGGAAAAAACATAGGTGTGCTATTCCCACATATTCTGACGTCACTCGGATTGCAAACAAAAGATCACCTGATTGTAACTGTCAAATTAGTATATTATGTGTTTGTTTTGATTTGGTTGTTATTGTTTTTATTATTATAAAAACAATAACAACCAAATAAAAACAAATACATACTAATTTGACAGTTACAATCAGATGATCTTTTGTTTGCAATCCGAGTGACGTCAGAATATGTGGGAATAGCACACCTATGTTTTTTCCTTCCACCATGAATTCTACCAGGCCGCGGCCTGTAGTTAAAGGCGGCCGTGGTTTCTTCCCTTTGTCTGTTGACTCCAGTCTCCTCCAAGTCCAGTCCATTCCACTTCCACAGTCTCACTCACTACTCACTCAACTCAGTCTAATTGTCTGACTGAAGTGTAGACTGGACTGAACGTTTTTTTTTGTGTGTTTACTTATAAAGTCCGTTTTGTCTTGTCCGTTATTTTGACGAGACCTTGCCGTCAGACCGTCACCGCCCACCTTCGTCTGTCTAGAAACGGGACAGCGGAATCCGAACTGAACATCTGATCGCGGGTTTCTGGGTTTCTGTCATCACCGAGCCTGTTTTAAATTACGCGGGAACACGGGAACAAAGTACAGTAGCCGTTTAATGTTAAATATAAGTCTAAATGTGTTAATTGAAAATTTCTAGAATAATTATAAAAAATTACAAAAAACTATATAAGTCCAAATAAAGATGAATTACATAAAAATCCTAACTATTATTAATTGTTGTTTACACTGTTTAAATAACAAAAGTATAGAAAGAAAAAGTTTAATTCCATGTCGTTCTAAATTATAGCTAACAGGTAGGCCTATTTTCAGCTGTGAACATTTCAAAACTAGTAACATACCTCGTGTTAAAATTCCTGGTCTTCAAAATAAATTTTTCTTAAAATCTAACAATTTAACACATATATTGATACACACTCACACACACAAATAATATTTACATTTATTTACAACATATTTTCTTCATCTTGGAAACTGTAACAACAAAATGAACACAAAAATTTGGCTATTTTAAATGAGAAATATCTTATTGTGAATTTTCTATAGGCCTACTTGTTTATTTTGTTTGTTTGTCAGTGTCACAAGTTACTCAGCATGGGTCTACGTTTATGTTTGTAGGTACCAGTATCTCTGTGAAAATATCTGGGATGTCAGTGTGTGTGTTCAAGTTCAAAAACTTTTATTTCAGTAAAAGATTTCACTAGCATACCACTGGGCCGAGTGAATACAAGTACAGCAAGTATTTACTTGTGAGTAAATACTTGCGAGTATTCGTCGTTCAAGTAATCTCTTGTGAATAAAAGCGACTCTTTACTTGCAAGTAAATACTTCCTAAATGAGATGGTATACTCACTGATCTATCGGAGATGAGGGTATACTTGCAAGTATGTACTCCATTTTAAAGTAAACATTATATACAGTACAAGTATATATATATATTAAATAAATAAATATAGATAAATATATATATATTGTTGAAGGTCTAAGGCCTTCATTTAAACATGTAAAATGTGAAGGTTTTGCATTATTGAGACTTGTGGATGGATTTTCATCAACAAAATAGTTTGAACATAACGAAGGAATACCACAAAGGTTCCATCTTCAATTACCCAAGCATTATTTTGCGGAAATTACTAGAGTCACACATAATTTAAATAAGTGTATTGTATTACACTATACTGAATGTGTTACATGCATTTATCAACAAGTAAATTTAAACAAGCATGGGTTATTGATAACTAGTTGAAAAACAAGTATTTACTCTTTAGGCAAGTATTTGCTGGTGGTTATTCACACCAAATTTATAGGTTTATGAGGGTATATACTTCCTTGGAAAGGCTTTTTAGAAGTACAAGTAAATACTCATGCTTATTCACTTCTGTTCAAGTAAATACTCAAATTATGAAAATTCAAGGCAAGTAAAAAAATGTGAAGAACAAGAACTTTAACTTAGAAAATAAGAATGTGTCAGCTGTTACAATTTCATTTAATTTATAATTGATGGTTGATTATTACCTAATGATTACAAATTATTAAATATATTTTTTTTGCAAAGTTTTATTTACAATCTGTTTTAAATTAAACGATAAGTAAATATGATAACATTTATTTATATAAATTAAATTTAAAAAATATTAAAATGTATAATCTATACTAATATATAAAAATGAGATGGTGTGTGTTTGTGTGTCTGTCTACTACTCAATAACGCAAAAACTACTGAACCGACTGGGCTCAAATTGCACACACATGAAGCTACAGTTCCGAGGATACATATAGAACTATTCCCGCTTCGATATTGTCCTAGGGCTCTGCCCAGTGGGCTTTCAAAAATTTGAGGTGAGAGATTTAAAAGTAAATATTGATTGATGGGTATATCCATGGTAACAAAGAACAAACCTACAAAGTTTAAAAATATAAACAAGCAGAACTAACTGTCAAATGAGTTTTGATTTCACAAGTCCACTCCACACAGCTGGTTCAAACATATTAAATACTGCACCAATATTAAAACAGAGAGGGTAAGGATTATAAATTCAAAATAATGATGTCACTAGCCCGAATGTAAACATTATTTAACATTACTTAAATGGAGCTGTCAAACAATATGTTAATATAATTTCATCAGTTACACCATTTGTTTATGTTTATGATCTATATTATACTGAGTCTGTTCTAATATTTGTGAAATGCTGTAATAATATTTTACAGGCAATAATTCGTTGTAAAAGAAATCATTCATGGATATAGGAAATAATTAAGATTCTATAATCATTGCCAAGCCATTATCCTGAGTTTTATGAGGTTTATTTTTATTTTTGTGTAAACAGCAATATAATCCCCCTTCCGCAGCAAATTTATAGACTTAGTGAATTTCCATTTACCTGATTATAATTTCGATAAAATATGTTAAAAAAATTACCCTATTCTTCATATTTATTTCAATTTTCCTATTTGTTTCTATTTTTCGGTTTGTAACTGTTGTGATCGTTTTTTTGTTTACAGTGCAAACCATTTAACACGTTCTTTTATTGTACCTTTTAAAATCTATCATTGGTTTTGTATCGTAGGTAGCCTAAATAAGTACTCACAGTATGAGTACTTATTTTTTACTTATACTTATACTTTTCCCCCTCAATGAATTCGTGTATTTCACGAAGGTGTCGAGACAAAACCCACCGATTAACAAAACTCTTATCACAAAACTGAGCACTGGCATACATGCATTGTTGACAAGACAAGCCAAAACGATTAAAAGTACACCACGCGACCACGCGACAGACAGCAAAGACAGCATTGAATTTGACGTTTAAGTTCGGCACTGCTCGGTAAGATTCGGAAGCGTTCGGCACAGCGCAGTAGTGGGGGAAGCGTTGTTCCGATTTCAAATTCCGCTGTCCCGTTTCTAGACAGACGAAAAAAAGGGCGGTGACGGTCTGACGGCAAGGTCTCCTTTATTTTGTGCTCGTTTCGTTTGTACAGGGAAAAAAATAAATACGTTAAATTGTATATGTATTTATAGTTTTAATATTCTTTATTGAAACAAAACTGTTGTAGCACAACCTACAAGATGTCAGAAGCCACACTATTTGGAAATGAACAGGTAGAGTACCTAATCAATGCAATAACATTTTTATCTGCATTAGATAAGTAAAATTAAACTGTTGTGCTCATACAGTTAGTAGGCCTAGGCTAAGTTGCTTTACCTTTACCCTTGAAAATGTTTATCCTAGCCAACATCCTTTTTTTAGATGACCCTATACTGCATTTTAAGTCTTTAATCTAGGAATGTTTAAGCAGCACCAATTCGATTAAGTATTTTGACAAGTTGTCAAAACCCAGGCCTAGTTATCTAGAATCTTTATGGGACTTCTATCAAGTAATTTCATGAAAAAACAACTAGGCCTAGACAAAATAAAACACGATCAATCAAGTGTAGCTAACTTATGTGCTTTACTTCAAACCTAGTTTTTTTTCTGAGCTAAAAGCTCTAACTTGGTAGGCTATACAGTCCACTCTTGGTAATTGAAACACTCATTATCAAAACATTCGATATGCCCTACCGGTACCTAGGCCTAATTCAAAAGGGTACAGTTTCTTAACTGGGTTATGCTAATATCGATTGAAACTATCGATTCGATTAGTAAACCTTTATGCAATTTTTTCACTATCAGCAAGTTTGGTTGGTTAACTTAGGTTAGGTTATGAATTTTATAGCCTAATGGATATAGGCCTATTTAAAAATATCTATATAATTATTTGAAACTGTTTTTCTTTGTGACAGCTAATTTGAGAGAACGGCTGGGCATAGAAACTCGGTAGGGGTCTCTAAAGAAAGGTCTTGGTCTGTAGATGAGCCATCAAAAGATAAACGAGGTAAATTCCCTTGGGGGTCTGCCCTAGAGGCCTTTAAAGTCCCCTCAGCAGATTTGTTTATAATATGACCATATGTATAATTTTACACTATTAATGAACCAGCTGTTAATTTTAAAATTGTATTTAAAAGGTCAAGTGTTATGAGCATTTAGGCTACTGAAACTGTCAAAATTAAATGTTTACATTATTATTTATGATTTTTAAATTGATTCTTCACTGCATCGCAAGCTTTTTATAGTTTGAACAAAATGATGAATTTATGATAGCCTAGGGCCTATGTTTTAAATTTTTTGAACAAAAATCTATGCTAAAGCATTAAGCACTTAAAAAAAATTATATTACAAAATCAGTTGGATTTATCAATTTCAAAGGAACAGATTTAACTATTCCTTATCGGGTTAGCTTATATTTATTGTAGGGGTTTGCACTTGCTTTTTTTGTCTACTTTCAATAATCATTTGTAGATGAGCACATTGAGGATGTGAGCTGTGTTCCAAGTTTTGGAATAGATTATGCACGGAGTAGGTTTAATCTATGGTTTGGTGCAGTAGGTGAATTAATGGCAGTTAATATATTAAAAAAGGGGGGAAGGGTTTTTACTTTGATGTACATAGGCTATCTAGCTAGGTCGAACAATGCATATAAACCTCACTACATACAAAACATTCGGAAATACAACAGTGCCTTTACATCTCATCTCATTTGCATAATTTGTTGTCAACCAAGCCGGACTAGGTTATGGATATGGTTCAGCAAATGTTTAAGATTTGTGGTCAAATTCACTACAATTATGGTCCATCCCATCCTTAAAATGCACAACTTTATGTGATTGATACGGCCAATGTAAAACTACGCCAGAAGTTAATCAATTAGCAAATAAGTACAGGATAATTAAATTGGAGAAGGAATTCGAATTTCTTGGATCGAAGTAAGAATGTTTATGCCTTCTGGAGAATCAGATATTTTTATCAAATACAAAAAACTGATTTAGGCTAATTTCTGACGAAATTCTGCATTTTATGACCAAAGATGGTGATTCACTTATGCAATCCAATTACGGTCTGAATGATTTTCCTAAAGCAGATGTAACCAGCTATTAGTAATATAGTCTCTTCCCGTAAGATGACAGACCGATTATATGAAATCCTATTCCCATATAGTAAAAGTGGCTTTAACATGAACAAAACTGATGAACAAGAAACAATTATAAGACTCCTGGAAAACCTTTTGGGCAACCTAAAGCCAACCACGTTTTTGAAGGTAGGCCTAGTTACACAATCTCATATTCATTATTAATGCTTATCCTCCCCTTAATTTAACTAAGATTTTCACTCTATCATCGCAGTTAGCTTAAGTTACATAAAACCCCAAGAGTAACCGTCGATTTCGACGGGTTTCCCCTAGTGGATTATTAATCAATATTTTCAATTCGATAGTTTCGATCGATATTAGCATAGCCCAGTTAAGAAACTGTACCCATTCAAAATAATAGCTCAGTCCGTACTCCGTAGAGTACCTATCTCAATCTTTCAAATTTTGGTAATTCTGATTAATTACTTGGTCAACCCCAAAGTTACGGTCATAAGGATGTTCTCAGAAAACAAGAAACATATAATTCGAGCCCCGCATGGGTAGGTTACGTTAAGTTAGGTTATTACAGATACTGAGATATTACAGTTTTTAAGGACCCCAAAGTATTTCTGTAAGGAGTTTGCGATTTGCAGTGCATGTGCTTAGTTTCTACCCGTTCAATGAATAAAAATATACAAATTTACATCCTTTATATACAACAAAAGACTCCAAGGCGAGCCTGAGCCTCCCGGCTTATCCACAGCAGGCGAATCATTCACTGGTATCAAAACATAAGATTCATCAGTAAAAACGGAACCTTGAAGTAAAAAGTGAATATCTTTCAGACATTTTATGACTTGAGAAATAATTGGTTTTATGATAAAAAAAAACTTTAATTTGAGATTATTTTGGAGGATAATTAGGCCTACTGGAAGTAGTGTTCAATAGCATCATCTGTTAACTAAAGTTAAAATAAAATCTTCAATTTGTAAATTAAGTTTATGGTCTTCTAGAAACTTGGATATAGTAACACTTTTTTCAAACAAAAAACCTTACCCCTCAGTGATGTGATGATTAAACATCAATTATCCCAGTATCCTACTAAGACCTCAGCCCTCTTCCATCCAGAGAAAATTGTTTTATTTACATTACAGTTTATATTCAGTTCTAATGTAGCCTACATGAACAAATAACAAACCCAAAACAAAATTATCTTTTCCAAATTTAGAGTGCAAACAATAAAATATTAATAAAAACTTTATTCCCCAAAGGCTTTTATTAAAGCAGGCTTGAATTTAAAACTACAGTATATTACATATCCAATGGTGTTGGTAGCTTTAAAAAATAAGTGGCTACTCAATTCACCACCAGTAGTAACTTTTTAATGGCAATATTTGTTGAAAATAATAGTTCCTTCAGTATTGTAATTCCAGTTTCAAACAACAAACAAAGAAGTAAACAGCTGCTGCTTAAACGTGACTGTAGTATAGAGATAACAAGAGTACAGTAGAACCTCAATATCTCGATTTTTTTTAAATCCCCTTGAAATCCACATTAATCATAATGTTAAAAGTACCTTTATAAGTCGAAGTTTCTAAATATTTAACCTCAATAAGTCAAATTTTAACAACTTTTGAACAGTAACATTCTACCTCTATAACTCGAATTTTCCCGTCATCGAGCCTCAGTAACTCGAAGTTTACCTTTATAAGTCGAAGTTCGCATGAATGTGCCTCAATAATTCGAAGTTTGAATAACAGTGCAAGTCAGTTGTGATTCCTGTCGAGACGTGAAAATCAAACTTCCTGTGTTTGCTTCCCGTGTCTGTTTGGCTAGGCACTGTAGTCAGTGTAGTTTACCCGTTTTGCCAAAGTAGATTCAGTACTTAACTACATTACGATGCATTTTGTTTATTATTTTAATCACACTAGAATTTTCCCTTTAAATATTACTCTCTACAGTCTACATACTTTTTGTATGTACAGTATTGTACCTATTCAGTATTTTTGTTGTTACAGTACCTAGCTTGTTTTTACAGTACATATAAAGAGGTTGACTAACGTTTGCTTTAATCAAACATTATACACAGTAAATGTAGTTCCGTGTATGGATGATATATACTGTATTATTGTTTTGTACAGTATTTAAACTATTTTTTTTGTCATTTAACATGTTTTTTATGTACTTTATCAAACTTATTGCCAAATAATAAATACAGTACTTTATGTGCATTCAAATTGTTTTATTTTGCTTCCAAAGTTACTCTTCAGTAAGTTACGTATTAATACAGTTTGAGTTCGATTATTAAGGTTTAACATGTATAAGTCGAGTTATAAAGGCCATGACGTAACATCACTGTCAGACCCCAACACCTCAGTATCTCGAACTTTTTCATATGGAACCTTCATAACTCGAACCTCACTAACTTGAAAAACTTGATAACTCGAATTTTGATCATAACCCCTTCAGATTCGAGATATTGAGGTCCTACTGTATATGGCAGCAACAATGCTGCTTAATCAGTTTGTTTGTAAACAGAAGGACATACAGAAGGTGGTTTGACAAGCGGCCAGTGTAGGTACAAAGTTCACTGATAGAGCACAACCTACCAAACACACTCCAACAATACGCCAGTATCTGTTGTTGAGTATCCGTTGTGTGAGTTCTCTGTTGGGTGGGGTGGGTGGTGGGGAGCTCTACATGATAATTTGTTGAAACATGAAGTAGACACATCCAGAGTCAAACTGGTACTACTATTTCCTGTCTCTCAGTTAACCAAAAGTTAAAATTTATTTCAGTGAGTGTGGTTAAACTTTTTAGAAATATAATGATTGGATTGAAATGAAACTTCAGTTTTAAATCAGTTTGTTATAATGTGGTGCACCAAGTAAAGTGTTAGGGTTATAAACTTTCAGAGCTGAAACGTGTGAATTCCAGCAATAAAAAAACGTGAGTTTTAGTTTTCCACTTTTTATAAATATTTATGAAAATGGGGCCCAGTTTTGTTAATTTTAGATATATTTAAATACAGTACTAAACCTCTTTTACGTAGATTTTAAACACTTTTAAACATTCTAAGCCACTTTATACTTTTCTTTGAAATGGCGACCATACAAAGTAGGTATTTTAAGCCAAGTATGAATGGAGATGAGTGTATGATGAGTGGCGCGATGTTGTAGTCTTGTTAGTGACTAAGGTTGACATATTCCTTAGACACAGCTGTAAATTAATAGCCCATAGCCTACAGCTAATGGCGACTAAGTGACCTATAGTTAATAGTGGAATCCAAACCACTTTTTTCATTGGTATATACAAATTGGTCTAATTATCAGGATAGTACTGCGGATAGTCGTAGTACTCACCCGTGCGGACGTTAATCCACACCAGGGAGTATCGCATCCACAGTGCATGCCTATAAATATCCACAATTTGTGACCTCCTAGTAGCTGGATTACAGGACGACGCCACCCGTCCCAGTCACACCAAAATTAAACTTTAAAAACTTCACAAATCTTCACTGTAAATCAATGTAGCAGACAACACCTAGACTCATCCTTGCCACCATCTGCTCCATTACGTTCCGTTGGCCATCTACCTGCGCCAATTCCCATTGCCATACCCATTGGCAGACAATTCCCATTACCTGTAGTCTAATTTCTGTATATTTAGGCCTATATATATTTTACAAGCTAATTATTTTTGTTTATAAAAAAAAATCATTTCACTTTATTACACAAATCAAATAGCCTTCATGTAGCCTAATTCCCATTACCTGTAGGGTCTTAGTTTTTTATTTGAAGATTTGATAGGCTAAATAGTTTGGTTAATCGAAAAAAAAAAAACACATTTCACATCTAGGCCTACACATTTTTTTTTTTTTTTTTTGTCAGGTAGGTTCAAATTTAATAGGCCTTAGGACTTCTGTCTGGGGTGAAACTCTTTTAAACATTATTAAATGCCACTGTGTTGATAATAAATGAGATTATAAAACGTTGAGAGTGTTTACCCAGTCGGCTTCGCCACGCTTTTTGGTGATGTACATGCCTATGATTTAAAAATAAACTGTCGCGCTTAGGCCACTTGATCAGTTACTAGATGTCGAAAACGTGTTTTGAAACGTTATTGTATGTAGTTGTTTGTTAGAGTATTTTTGTGTTTTTTCATCTCATGATTAGAATACACTAAGATAAAGTAGTACCTGTAGTAAAATACAAACTACTTAGCCTAATTGTAGTTCAACTTATCGGTAATCTAATCTTAACAGGAAGACTAGACCTACACTTACATTTTATACTATCTTTGTCAAAATTCTAATGCTAATGAATCTTCCTTCTATATCCTTCTATCTTACATTTGAGAATGATTTGAGCTACTGACAGTTTTTTACATATCAGAATTTGGAGCAGTTTTTAATGGTTTGCATCTTTGCAGGATCATGTGAAGAGGTTGAAGAGAGAACTAGAGGGTTGGCGAGAGATCGTCCTACAAATGAACTCTGTGTTACTCTGGGAGAAAAACTGGTATCCTGGAGTGTTAGCTGGAGCATCTACCATACTTTTTATGTGAGTTTTATCAACAGAACCTTTCTCTTATCTTATCATCTTATAAATCTTATTAAAAGAATGTTTACTCTGAGAAATCGTATGTAGGATTTACCTTTTGAAATTCCATTGTGGGATGCAACGTCCTGCTGAGTCTTGATGAAGACTTGTACTCAATATGTGATTGTATAGGTGACCTAGTGGTAGCACTGCTCGCCTTCAAATCTCAATCTGAATTCTGGATCAATCCCAGGTGAAGGTGAATTTTTATGTCTTCTGCAGTCAGGGTGAAGCCGAGAACCCAGAGATCTTCACTGTCACTGTGAAATCATCAACATCTTCCACAGTCAAGGCAAGATCGGAAAATTTTCAGCTGTCATGGCAAATTCATGAACATTGTCGTGGTGGGGTGGATTAATCTTAATGTCTTCTGTAGTCACAGCAAACTCAAAAGCATTTTCTGTGGTCGAGGGAAAATCAAAGACATCCTGTGGGGTCACAGCCAAATCGTGGACAACATCCACTATCATTGTGAAATCGAGAACACCTTGACCTTTCACGGTTATGGCTGAATCGAGAATATCTTCCATGGTCATGGCGACATTGTCATTGTTCACAAATCTTCTCAAACACTATCTGGGGTCGGCTTGATTAGAACTGAGCTCGGCCCGATAATCATTCTGGACATACCGATCCCTCGGGTCAACTGTAAGCCCGACCCGGCCTGAAAAATCAGGGTTTCGCAGACACCCTAGTAAAAGCTTTACTAAATGGAAGTATGGGGAAACTCATTGGCAACCAACCTCCAACGTGTGCTTATCCACCAGAAAAAAGCAGTAAGAATATTAGCAGACATGGACAAGCAGAGAGAAAGTCACAGACCGAAATTCCGTGAGCTAAAAATCCTAATACAAGCCTGTACATCCTAGCTGTGGCTACTCACGCAAGCAGGCTACAGCTCCAACTAGGTATGGATAGGCACAGCCATAACACCCGACAGGCTATGAATTACACACTTCCAGTCCATCATCTAACTCTTTTTGAAGACAAGCCTTCCTACATGGGAGTGAAGTTCCTGAACCTGCTACCAGAGACAATAAAAGGCCCCAGCATAAGCAGCACCAGACAACGCTTATCAGCTTGGCTTGTGGAGAGACCATTCTACACAGTTGAGGAGTTCATGAACTGGAGAACATCACCGATGTTGATGTTCCAGTGAGGACTAAACAACCCTCATAGTAATAATAACAATAACCATCACTACCGACAGCGCCTCAAAGCCCAACAACTTTATGCTGTTTTATAATTAAATCTCTGTAATGTTTGACGCCTATTCTGTACTCTATGTTCAAGAATAAAGTATTCTGATTCTAAATTACTATTTGACTACTATTTGAGGAAACCCAGGTTTTGCTATTCGGGAAATTGTGTGAATTTATTCCAGGAGTTCTGTGGCCACCCTGGCTACTGACCAAGCCACCTTTTGATATCAATTAATTATACAATCTAACAAAAATGTATACAAAATAGTAGATGGTAACAAGACCACGGTTTGGACTGTTTCCCTTGAAAAACGTTAAAAAATAAATAAATAAAATCAAAAAATGGTTGGCTTTTGTGGTATACTTATACTTATAAGTAACACCTATTAAGATTTGATATTCTAAGAGGATCTTGTTTAGCAACAAATTCAAGGTATCTTTAAACCATTTATTTGAGAGTGGAGGTTCTACAGTACAGAATGCTAGTTCAATAATTGTCTTATCTTACAGGCTACTATGGTTGGCAGAGCCGTCACTACTGAGTGCTGTCAGCTGTGCAGGATTGCTGGTAACACTGCTGGACTACCTGGTGCCTACGCTGAGCGCTACAATGTACAACCCTGCGTTGTGGACTGGCGCTCAGGAGAAACAGTTTGAGAACATCTGCCGCACCCTGGTCCAGACGTACGCGACTGCCACTCATCAGTTGGTCGCCTTCAAGGACCTCAAGCTCACCAGTCCCAAATTGGTCAGTTACATTGCATTGTAACAACTGATAAATTATTTACACTTTTTGTCCAAAGTATTCCTTGCCAATGGAATTTGTAATGGTTTTCACTTCCCCTGTTAGCAACTGTCCCGTGCTATATCTGTTTATTTCTTGTCAAACACTGGAAAGCAGTGTATTAAATTACACCTTGGTTTTTTTGTTGGATAGAATAGAATTTAAATATTTGTTTGCTCTTATCAGCATTTATACTAGTTCCTAACTGCGGCCGGTTATCACGGAACTTATTAAGCTAATGTTATGAGCAAAAATATTTAAGAGTTTTGCTGAAATCCACCTAATGTTGGTGAAGAGCATTTGGCCAACAATCTGTTTAAGCTGGACGGTAATATATTCTTTTCTTTATGTTACAGTACTACTCTGTTACCATCTTCTCTCTGACTCTCCTCGCATATATTGGCAACAAAGTCAACAACCTCCTTCTCACGTATCTAATAGGTGAGTTGCTTCTCGTCGTAACATTGATTAAGTAGTGTTAAGTGTCTTGTGTTGAACACTAGTGCTGATGCTTTTCTCTTTACAGTTACAGCTGTTTTGCTACTGCCCGGGTTGAGTCATCATGGACTTCTACACAAGTATTATCAGCTGATTCTCCAAAACATTGCCAATGTACTGAAAAGCTTGCAAGGTGGAGCGAAAATCAAGGCAAACTGATCTCTTTTGTGGCGCCTGCAAAATTACTGCTTTGTATAGACGTTGACAAATAAGTGATAAGCGTTAAGTGCACATGCACTATGGCTAAATACTCCTAGTTTTTATGTTATACATTTTGTTTTTATCTTTAAATTTAGATATTTGTGTGCTATAAAAAATTTTTTCGTAGTTTTGATGTACATATATTTAGATTAGTTTCAATCCCAAGTTTGTGAATATTGAGGACTTCTTCGGATACTCATTTGGCGTGGAACGGCTTAACTTCCTCCCTCTGTTCTTCAACTTTAAATTTGTAGTTGTCATAAGAAAATGAGCTTGGCCCAATACAAATAGCTGTTGATTGAATGGAGGATGACTTTGAAGAAGCAAAAGCTGAACTCTGTGAGGTCATGGAAGAGTGTAATTTTGCTCCATTCAATCGACAGCTATTTGTATTCGGCCAAGCTCATCTTCTTATGACAACTAAACATTTAATGTAATAACTTTAATTTTTTAGTCGTCAAAAGATGAGCTTGGCCAAATACAAATAGCTGTTGATTGAATGGAGCAAAATTACACTCTTCCATGATCTCACAGAGTTCAGCTTTTGTTTCTTCAAAGTCATATTCAGTTGTTCCTAATCTTGAATTCTCTTTTTGAACTCTGTCATATCAGTTGCACTACTGGAGCAACTTGTGTGTCTCTGGTGCAGATGGAGGAACAACTTAAGTCTCTGCTTGACTCCTACCTTTTGAACATGCTGGCCCATTTGAGGGTTTCCATTCTGCATGGTTCTAGCTTGGACTGAGGAATCTTCATGTCCAAAACAGCAGAGTTCTTTTTCCTTGGTTTGAAGTTGAAAATACTCCTTCAGTTTTCCTACTACTCCTGGTAGGAGAAAGTTGTTCCTCCATCTGCACCAGAGGCACACAAGCTGCTCCAGCCCCAGGGCTCTCTCCAGGTAAACAGTTTTTTTTACAATGACATCAATAGATATTCATTGATTCTATCACTTAGCTTGAAAGATTGTTGTTTACAGAAATCCTTCAGACATTTTGCAAGTTTTTATTTAAGTTCTGGCCTGAAGCTGGATCCAAAAATAGTATCCCACTTCTGTACAAAATCTTTTAAAAAATTAGGCATATGTACGACTTAAACAATTGTCTCTTTTATCTCGTCAACAAGTTTTGGATTCAAAAATTTGCAGTAATCATCCATAGTTAATAATTTAGCTTAATTTTGTCAGAGTTAAGCCTGTGAATCGTTGATCAATATGTTTACTAGTGCAGTTACCTGCTGTCAAGTGACCCTTATGATCTTGAAAGGCAACCGGTTTCGATCCTCACTGGATCATCTTCAGGCGAACGTCGTCATCTTCATTTCGTTTGTGCGAACACGTAGATTTTTTATAAACATTGAGTCATATTTTTCAAAACACGTAAAAATGGACAATAACTATTACCGATTGGATGAGTGGCGGGCGACACGGAAGTAGAGTCTAGAGGCGACACGGAAGTAGAGTCTAGACCAAGTGGAGTCCAGACTCTACTTCTGTGTCGCGTCTTAGAGAGAATCTAAAGTTATAACAAAACTTTTTATCAACATGTAGAAAGAAGAAGGGGGAAAATATTCAATACACAACATTTTCTGTCTTAATTATGTGTTTTATCCAATCAGCGGTTTTACAGAATACAATTTTGATGTAGCTATATCAATAAGTGAAAAAATTTTGTTCCTTGAAGTAAGATTTTTTACATAAATCAATATGGTTAGTTGTAAATATAAATATTAAAACCATTTGTACCTTTGTGTAATTAGATTAAAGTTTGATTAAGAAGTGTAAATTTGGCTTTTACTTTAACCTCTATTCCAATTAAAGTTACAAAGTCTGTAAGTTTAGCCTATTAAACTTGTCCTATCATACGTTGTGGGAAAGATATGTTTGTGTGTGTGTGACATGGCTGCTCCGTAACATTGAAAACGCTGTTTACCACTAAGTACATTGTGGTTCCTAATAACTCTCAATGGCGCGCGTCTGTTAACTGTTAAGCCGGCCATGGCCACGTAAACGTTATGGAAACGCTCAGTTACATGGGAAATAATCAGTCTTGAAACTTAACACACTTGTATTTAACAAGTCCAAGCACATAAACAAATGTACAATAATTTGAACAGATAGTGTTTTGCCTCCTGTGGACCATGAAAATTGAAAACTAGGTGTAGGACGCAGTTTGAGTTAAATCAATATATTTGAGAATAAACGTTATGCTGAACGTGGAAGAACTTACGTTTTGTCTTTCAAACGACGTTCATTACTTAATCGCATGATATACATATTTATTCATTATTATTATTAATTTTATTCGCTTTTGGTTGGCCTCAGTCACTAACAAGACTACAAGATCGCGCCACTCATCCTACACTCATCTCCATTCATACTTGGCTTAAAATACCTACTATGTATGGTCGCCATTTCATTGAACAGTATTAACAGTATTTTGTATCGTACCATACCCACTATGTGATCAATCTCTGTTATAAGTAGGCCTATCTTAAATGAATAGACAGGATTACGAATGGTCGAACTAGGCCTATTTGTATTATTTCCATCTCAATTGGCGGGACTTGCTTGTTCTGAGGTTAACCGAGATAAGATGCAGTGTGCATGATGATGTCAGATAAACGTTATCATACAGGCGTTGCGGTGATTGATTTTTGGCGCGAGTCAGAGTACAGCTTTTTTTCTTATCAATAGTAATAAATGATTACATAAAATGATACAGTTTCTGTTCTAAACCCAGTTAAAATTTTAATCCAATCACACAATCAATCGTTTTTACAAAAGTCAAAGTGTATCTGTTAAAACAAGTTTCAATAGTTCAAAAATATTTTACCGTCTCAGTCCGGGTAGCATAATTTTGATGATGCAACAGTATAATTTTTGTTGTAAAGTCACATTTAATACTGTAACGAATTAGAAATATCAACCAGTGCACAATTTCCTTCCAAAATATCCTTAATTTAAAAGTCACTGAAGTATAAGTTAAATTGTTTTTATTGAATATTTTTTATGTAAACAGCCTGTATGCTACAATTTTATTGTGACCAAAAAACATTACTGATGGTGTGCATGCATTTTACAAAATGAAAAACGTATACGATTGACTTACGGAAAACGTGTAAATTTTCACAACCGTAACATACACTTTAGTTAGTAATACTTTACCCCTTCTTTTGTGAACTTTTAACTGGCCATGACAAAAAAACCAAATATATCAAAGTACTTCAAACATCAACAATCGATTATTGAACTTGAACAACTCTCAAGCTTTTATTCGTATTGTGTTTGGTGAAAAACATCAACTACGTTTCTTGATAATTTGGGTTATGTTTATTTATTTATTTTGAAAATGTAGTGAGAAAATGGAAGAAAGAAACTGTATCAAGTTTAGTTTTTAGGTGGGTAAGTAGTTAAAACACTTATCGGTCAAAATATTGTCTAGGTTTCCAAATATGAGTGATGCAAGCGCCATTACGCTTCACAGTCCTCTACGTTTAATGAGGTTATGGCTGCCTCCAAAATAAATGTTATTTCTAGTTTATTTTAAGTGCCTGAATGGTTTTTCTTAGATATTTTAACAGTTTTACTTGTTAGGAGCCTTACAATATCCAAAATTTCAACACAAGTCCCTGTTGTAAGTTGATATCTTTGTATGTATTTGGGGTTAGTTAGCATCCTAACCACAATGGAGACTTATCTGAAGTAAAAGAGAGGTAGGCTGGCAATCTTTTATTTAGATGGATGTGATTTTATTAGCCATTCTGTCATATTTTGTGATTTAGATTTGTGTTACTGTTGTCCTTAAGAGTTGTGTTATCTATTAAAATCGAATCATTGTTCAGTTTTTGTAAAGTTAATGTTATTTAAGTTAGGCCTAGGTTTAGCCTTCTTATAATGGTTTTTACTTAAATTTCTTACGACAAATTTATATTATTTGATGTTACTTTTTTCAAATGGAAAATGGTAGTTTTTTTATAGTAGTACCAGTACAAATTAAGTTAAATTTTATAGGCTTAGAGGATTGAATCGTAACCCCTAAAATCTCAAATGACTAAAAAGGCTAGGACATTAATCTGTTGAATGAGCTGCTTTGGTCATATAATATCCTTTGTTTTACTTTTGACCAATCTATGCTGATAGCTTTAAATCTTCCAAGGTCAAGCCTATCTAAAGATTTAACGGCTGCACTTTACTTTAGGTCCTACACTCATTCGAATGAATATATCGATCGATATATCGATTAATCAATTGTTTCATTCGATATATCGTTTGGTTAGTTAGGTAAGGTTAACTTAACCTAACTAACCAAACAATATATCGAATGAAACAATCGAATAATCGATATTTTCATTCGAATGAGTGTAGGGCCTAAAGTAAAGTGCAGCTGATTTAACTTTAAAATCTTCCTAACTTCATTTAAGCTAACTTATAAGTTAGGCCTATAAGTTACTTTAAGTTTACTTAAGGTACGCACTTACTCTACGGTACTAGGTAGGCGCTTAGGCTATAATCTACCTAAGGTTTTTGTCCTAGGTTATTCATACCATAAAATCAATTTCAGTTATAGAGGCTGAGCTGGGTTTAATCATAAAGATTTAAAAAATTTCTATCCAAAGGTAAATAAGTTAAATAATGTGTGATGAGAATATATTTTATAGTTAAGTTAGGCCTACAGGATAAAACCTTTAGGTTATCAGTTAAAAACAGGACCAGGTAAAGGCCAGAACAGCTTTTAACGTCTATGAGTAGTAAGTAGGCTAGTACTTTTTTTACTATAGGCCTACCGGTACTTTATCTAAGGTAGGCTATAGTTATGTTTAAACATAGTAGGCTATTCTACATAAAATTACAGACAAAGTGGCTACCGTAAAACGGGGTGACTTGAGCCCAGTGGGGTGACTTGAGCCCAAAACGCAAGAAAGTTTTGAATTTTCGTTTCAGAAAACCTAAATGATTTATCAAAAGGTTTTATTTATCAATTTCAAGGTTACCTAATTAGCTTTCACCACAAACGATTCCAATTATTTTAACTGTCCATTTTAATAATTAGGTATAAAAAATAATAATGTTAACACGTCCGAATCTGAATTTCATTACGTTGAAAAAAGGTTATCGGCACAATGGGTATTTGCACTTAAATGAAAATAAAACTATTTTTCCCCATTTCATTATTTCCTTGACAACACAAACATGTTGAAGCATGTTTGATTATGTAATGGTTTAAGTCAGTATGACCTGGGTTTACCTTATCATGACCAAGTTTGGCAGATTTTGGGGTGACTTGAGCCCACCTGTGTTTAAGTGGTAACGTTTGTTTAGTAATGAAATAAGACACTTTCATTATTTCATGTGGTCTAGTAATTGGAAATGGCCAGAAAAGGTAGATGAGTGCTGGTACAGCAAAGCAGAAGTTAAAGGAAAAATACCCCCGCCGCAGCAAACCTGCAGACTTAGCAAATTTCCATTTGCCTGATTGGATTTAAACTAAAATGTCTCCTTAAAAATATCACATTTAGCCTATTCCAAGTTTAAACAGAATTACTGTAGTTCAATGAGTACTTAGGTTTGCTGCAACAGAGAGGGTAAAATGTTTTTAGCGAATTTCCCTATAGGGAAGTAGCTATTACCGTAGGTCTCATGGTAAGACTTAGGCCCGGGACCGATTTACTTTTTCATTTTGATGTCCCCAGAGGCCAAAAACACCATTCGTAAAAATTTTTATATATGTATATATATATATATATATATATATAGATTTATATATATATGTGTCCGTGAACACGATAACTTGAGTAATTTTTATCCGATTTTGATGAAATTTGGTTTGAAGGTGTAAGGCGGGATTAACTTGAATGAGTTCGCGATCCAGCATGATCGGACCATGGGAACAGGGTTTTATGGGGTAAAAATTGGTTTTTCTCACTTTTGACCCTCAAAACACAAAATTTCCCAATTTTTCTCTAAACCTTCTTAAAGAGCTTAAAAAAACAAACAATTCAGTATATCAAAGTGTTATTGTACGGTTATTGGTTACGTAGAAAACTAAAAAAATGTAAATTTAAAATTCCCATGTTATTCTTATGGAGAATATTGTAAAATGTTGTAGTTTGCTTGTTTATGGATATCTTTTGATCAAACTTGGCAAATATATTCATTTTCTACTAAGCAATAATTATTTTACTTAAAATACACACTTTATTGGTTTCCTTGTAGCAGCAAACCTAGGTACTCGTTAAACCTAATCAATGTTATCTAAATAGATCGATTGAAAATCAATTCAGCCAAATGGAAATTCGCTTAGACGGCAGGTTTGCTGCGGCGGGGGTATTTTTTATGTAAAATGTTAAAAGGTACTGTGGTTTAGTAAGAAATTAATGTTTTTCCAAATTTGATCAAAATATGTTCATAAACAAGCAAACTACAACAGTTGACTTATTCTCCATAAGAATAACATGAGAATTTTAAAATTACAATTTTTTTGAATTTTCTCCGTAACAATTAGGCGCATAATAACGCTTCAATATACTAAATTATTTGTTTTTTTAAGCTCTACAAAATGGTTTAAAAAGAAATTGTGAAATTTTGTGTTTTTAGGGTCAAAAAAGGGAAAAACCTATTTTTACCCCATAAAACCCCCCATAAACCCCCGTTCCCATAGTCCGATCATGCTGGTTCGCGAACTCATTCAAGTTTATCCCGCCTTACACCTTCATACCAAATTTCATCAAAATCGGACAAAAATTACTCAAGTTATCGTGCGGATGGACACATAT